CTCCTGGCCCGACTTCCCGTCTCGGTCAATTTCACTTCCCAGTTCCTGCCTCCTAGATCCTCAGAGCAGAACCGCTTCCTTAGAAATCAGAAGTGGGGTCAGGGAATCCGGACCGCAGGGCGTGTTGGCAGAACCCGCGTCGGGGCCCAGCCCGGGGCGTGTGTGGGACGTGCTCTCGGGTGTCCAGGGCGCCCGACAGCCTCCGCTTCGCAGGGGGCGGTGGTCAAGGAGGGCTTCCCTGAGGTGGCGCTGAGGCCAGAGCTTGTGCAAGTGTCCTGGGGCTCACGGTGCAGTGGCTGCCCAGAGCGAGTGGAGGAGGGGCCGGGCAGGTGGGAGGCGCCGGCTCCCCAGGGTGTCCTGGGCCAGCCGGGTCTTTGGGTTTTATCCCAAGAGCTTGAGGCAGTCGCTGGAAGATTTTAAGCAGAGAAGCGACTTGATCAGATCGGCATCCTTGGAAACTCACTGCGACCCCCCTACGGGGCTCTGGCGGGCAGCCCCAGATCCCTGGCGCCCTCCCCTGGCGGCGTGCCGGGACGCCTGGGCTCCCTGGGTTCCTCGGGCGGGAGGGCAAGGCCGAGGGCTGCAGGGAAGAGCAGGGTAGCGATCCCGAGTCAGGGCGGGCAGTCGTGGCCTGGATCTGGGCTCCAAAGTCCAGCCCGGTTAACTTTCAACCCCCGGAGCTGCCTGGGCGCTGCCGCGGCTGTCCCCGGGTGGTGGCAGACAGGCCGTTGGGGGTGTCTCGGCGTGCAAGGGGAGGTGCTGGGGTCTCGAGACCCTCGGGCGCCAGGGAACCCTTTGGGGACCCCAAGCCCTTCCCCCAGCCCGAAGGGTCGGAGGTGCCCTGCGCTCTCGGAAGAGGCTCCTCCCGCCCCAGCTTCCCCCAGAGTGGGAGGCCAGCCTGGCCCCCTCGGTCCCCCACGGCCCTCCATGGCCCCCCGCGGCCTTGGCAGCAGCAGGCGGGGCGGGGGGCAGACCGCAGGTGGAACTGGCGCGGAGAGATGGCAGCGGAAGAGGCTGTTTGCTCCCGTCTGCCGGGGGCGGAGAAGCTCTGTTTTTCTGGAACCCTCATCTGTTCTTGCCGCTGCTGACGCCGCCACCGCCAGGGATGGGGAGAGAGGGAGCAGCCAGTGCCAAGCCGGCCCGCCCTCCTGAACCTGGGCCTCTGCCACGCTCCCCCGCCCGCCGCTCCCGCGAGCCTCGTCTGGAGGTCACATTCAGCCCTGACGCGGCTCGCTGGGTCAGGCAGCAGGAAGACGGGAGCCGGCGGGGTGCAGCTGGCCGCGGGGGCGCCGCTGCGCGGTGGGGCCGGGTCTCCGGGTTGCGCCAGCCGAGGGTGGGGCTGACCTGGCGGTTGCTTGCCGGGTGTCCACGCCGGGCACCCTTGTGCCGGGGAGCCGCGGACGCTGCTCGCTGGCGACGCCTGGCACAAGGAGGCGCTGCGACAATCTGACAACTTGCCGCGGCTGCCGCCCTTGGGAAGGGCACCGCAGCAGGGCTGGCAGCGGCGAAGTCGGCAGCCAGAGCAGCCCTGGGCCAACAGGGCAGCGCGGAGCCGCCTCCCCGCCTCCTCCGCCAGCCCGCTCCCCTGCCCCCGCCTCCTCCGGCCTGCTGGACGCGGAGGATGTGAGGCAGCCCAGCGCCAGCAGCCGCCAGGCAGGAGCCGCGCACAGCCGCCGCGCCGCCCGGCCTCCCAGCCTCCCCTCCCAGCCCCGCCGGAGCATCCTCCCTGCCCTATGTTTCCGGAAAACTTGGCCGAGGGGGAGACGCGGATGAGAGGATGTGAGTGAGTGGCCGGGCGGGTGGGGCGGGGGCGGGTGAGGGACCGCGGGACGGGGCTGTCAGGAAATCGCGCTTGGCGGCGGACGCGGGACGGGGGCTCTGGCCCCGAGGATGTGCCCCCCCCCCTCTCGTTGCCTTGGCTTCACCGGGCTCGGGCTCTCCTGGAAGGGGGCCGCTGGGGCGCGGTGGGGGGCGTCTGCGGGCGGGCTGCGCGGCTCCGTGGCATGGGAGCGCCTCTCCCCGCGCCGGCGCTGGCAGCTGGGCTGCCCAGAACAGGAACCGGGAAAGCCTTCGCTGCCCCCACCCCAGGGCCTGCTGGCCCTTCACAGGGCACTTAAGGAAACTGAGGCCATGGAGCAGAGGGATGGCCGAGCCTCCACGGCCCGCTCTAGGCAGGCTCCCTTGTGAGCCCCATGCCTTCAGGAAGGGCTGGGGGACCCCACCCCTGTCCCGGCCCCCCACCCTGTCGGCTCCCACCGCTCCTGTGAACAGAGTTTTAATCAGGGGCCCCGACCCCCCAGCCCCCTGCCAGCTGGCTCCTTAATTTTTCCCTGAGTTCAGAACTGTCGCCCTCCCCGGGGCTGCCCCTGGGGCTGCCCCTGGGGCCCCACCCGCCCGCGGCAGGCCCAGGGGGGACCCGCCCCGTCCCCCCTCCCACCCTGGTTCCAGCCCTGAGCCTCCGGCCCTGTGTTTGCCGGGCGGCTTGGCCCCGGTGGGGAAATATAAATAAACGCACGTCCCAGCCGCCAGGTTCTGGAGGTGGCAGCTGCTGCCGGCGGGCGGAGGGAAAGGTCAGGCGCCCGGTTACACTTGATCCCACGCCCCTGCCCTCCCTCCGCGTCTGTCCTTGAGGAACCCTGAGGAGCGGCCGTGGGGCCACGTGCCCCTGTGCCTGCCGCAGCGAGCAGGTGGCCTGTCACTCAGCGTCACCCCCGCGTGTGCCGGGGCCAGCGGGTGGCGGGGCAGGAAGCCACGGCCCCACGCCCACCTCGCCCCCGGCCCGGCCCCTGAGCACAGGGCAGTTGGTGTCAACCTCTGAGCTTGTCCCCCCAGCCCAGGAACGGGAAAACCGTCACAGCATTGGCCGCAAGGAGGGGACGGCACCGAGGCTCTGAAGGGCTTTGAGAACTCTGCGTGTCACTTGGCCCATGCGGTGGCGGGGCGGCTTGTTGATGTTTCACTGCTGTTGCTGCGTTTTTGTCAGAGCTTTGCATGTAGCCGGCGAGCAGCGGCACGTGTCTGGATGGCTGGATGGAAGGGTGGATGTATAGATAGACAGAAGGGTGGATGGATGGATGGAAGGGTGGACGTACGGTTAGACAGAAGGGTGGATGGATGGACAGAGATGGGTGGATGGATGGGATGGATGGAAGGAAGTGTGGATAGATGGATGGGTGGAAAGATGGTTGGATGGGTGGACAGATGGATGGATGGATGGGTGGACGGACAGATGGACGGAAGGGTGGATGGACAGATAGATGGAAGGGTGGGTGGATGGACGGGTGGACGGGTGGATGGATGGGTGGTTGGACGGATGGGTGGGTGGACGGATGGGTGGATGGATGGGTGGACGGATGGGTGGACGGACGGGTGGACGGATGGGTGGACGGATGGACGGGTGGTTGGACGGGTGGGTGGATGGGTGGGTGGACGGATGGGTGGATGGATGGGTGGACGGATGGGTGGACGGACGGGTGGACGGATGGACGGACGGATGGACAGGTGGATGGGTAGGTGGATGGGTGAACGAATGGACGGGTGGATGGGTAGATGGATGGGTGGATGGAAGGATGGATGGACGGGTGGACAGATGGACGGGTGGATGGATGGGTGGATGAGTGGACGGATGGATAGGTGGACGGATGGACGGATGGATGGACGGGTGGATGGGTGGATGGACGGGTGGGTGGATGGATGGGTGGACAGGTGGATGGATGGGTGGATGAGTGGACAGATGGACGGATGGGTGGACGGGTGGATGGATGAGTGAACGGATGGATGGGTGGATGGACAGATGGATGGAAGAGTGGATGGATGGATGGCAGAAAACGCCACCTTGGACCACTGCCCCTGAGGCTCCCCAACCCCTGTGAAATTTCAGTTGTAGATTTGATCCGAGGAAAAAAGGCTCAAACGTCCTTGCAGGGACTTTTCCAGTAGCGTCACTTAAGCGCAGCGCAGCTCAGCTCAGAGGCCATAGGTCCCCAGCAACGTGAGCCCGCCTGGGGCTGCTGCCCTGGCAGGGGTGCCGTCCCTCCACGCAGCCCCCGAGGTCGGGGTGCCTGCCCCTCCCCCAGCCGCAGGAAGTGGACTGGCCCTACCTGCTCCAGCCAGCCGGGGCCGCACAAGGTCACGGCTCATGAGACGCGGCATGAACGTGGAGACACCGGCCCGTGCACACCCACCGGGGGCTTAGCGGGCGGACGGCTCGGGCCCTGGGCTGGCTCCCTTGGTGCCGCATTGAGCTGCAGCGGGCGCCTTACTGCTGAGCCCGGCGTTTGTGGCCTCGACACTAGGGCCTGTGGCCTGAGCTGGGGCGGGGGGGACTTTTGCCGGCCCAACGCGTTAGGGGTGGAGGCTGCCGATTCCTGGGGCGTCTCTCCCCATGCCAGGAGGCGGGGACCTCTTGCCCGTGGGAGGGGGCCGAGATTTGGGGGCACGTCCTCTCCCAGCCACCCACAGAGGCCGGGTGGGCCCTGGGTCCGGCGTGGGACGACAGGTGCCCCTGGGGGCTCAGGGCCCTGGAGGCGCCCCAGTTAACCTGAGTGGGAAGCTCCTGGGCCCCGCTCACCCCCACGCTGACCTCCACCCTCCCGGCCCCTGCTGGCCGCGTTCCTTCCTTTCCCTGGCCCGGTGCGGCCGGAAAACAGCCCGTCTCCCGAGGCCCGCGCAGCTGCGAGAGAGAGTCAGGGCTGGGTCACAGCGGCCGGGGCTCCCGCCCAGCCGGGGTGGGGAGTGGCGGGGTGGGGGCCCGGGCAGGGTCTGCATCCTGGCCCCCGGCCTGGGCCCCCAGGCTCCTCACCGGTGGCCTGGGTGGGGCCTGACCTGTCCCTCTTTGTTCCCGGAGCCCAGACCCTTCCGGAGCCGGGAGACCCAGAGAGCAGATCCCGGAGGCCGGCCCTCCTCCTCTGGTGCCTCCCCAGCCTAGGACACGGCCCCGCACTGCTGCCCCTGCCTCGGGGGTCGTGGGCCACCCTCACCTCCGTCTGCTCCCCCCGCAGGCCTCCTGGAGCACGGCCGGAACTGGTCGGCCATCGCCCGGATGGTGGGCTCCAAGACGGTATCCCAGTGTAAGAACTTCTACTTCAACTACAAGAAGCGGCAGAACCTGGACGAGATCCTGCAGCAGCACAAGCTGCGCATGGTGAGTCCTGGGGGCGCGGGCGGGCGCAGGCCGCCGTGTCACAACTCCTGCCCTGTCAGGACTCAGCCGCTTGGCCCTGCCCGGTGGCCCCAGACAGGGCTGCAGGTGGCGGTGCTGGGGTGACCGTCCGTCCTGGACATGGGGGCTGGGTGGGCCCCCCCTCCTGCCCACTCCGCCTCCCAGCCTGCAGCTCAGCCGCCTCTGGGGGCCTAGCGCCCTCGGGGTGTGGGGGCTGGGCACTGACTCAGCTGCCTTGGGATCAGGCCCCAGGGCGGAGGAGCCCTGTCTCACAGCTGCAGGGGCAGGGGATGGGGGGATGGGTCTGGGGTGGCGGGCGGCTGGGCCGTGGGCTCCTGCCTGGGACACCGCAGCGCAGCGGGGAAGCTGCGGGAGCAGAGGCGGCCGGGCGCGCCTCGTGGAGCGTGTGAGCGCTCTCCCAGGAGCGGCTGCTTCCTCCGCAGCTGTTCCTGGAATCCAAGATTTGGGGGTGGGTCTGCTGCCTTTTCTCCCTCCCTTCCTGGCTCCCTCCTGTCCTTCCCTTCCGACACACTCCCAAGCATCGCCCCGCTTTAAAACCGGAGAAACCGAGGCTCGGCCAGGCTCACAAGTGGCTGAGTTGGGGTTGCACCCATGGCCCTGAGCCTGCGCACCAGGCTCCCGTCACGGGCCGCGGGTTCCTCGTGGGTACAGGGCACGGGGAGGGGATCGCGTGGCTCCCTCCCCGCCCCCGCCTGCTGCCCATGGCTGGGAGGCAGCACCTGCGGCGTGTTCTGCGGGCGGCGCTGCTCCGCGCCTCTGCCCCACCCTCCCCCGGCCTGGTTTTCCAGGTTTCCTGGGGAAACTGCTGCTACGCCCCTGGGCCCCGAAATGCAGAGCTTGGCTGGAGGATGGGACTCCGGCAAGGAGCACAGCACGCTGGCCCGGGGCAGGCGGGCCCCAAGTCCCAGCTTGTCGATTCGGTGGCTTCAGCCTGCCCAGCCTCAGTTTCCTCATCTGTAAAGTAGGAGGGTAATAGTCCTTATTGCACGAGATCGCGTGAGGATTGAGTGGGTTATCGCCTGTACGGGGGAAGGTGCCCCAGGAGGGCCGGCCGTCCCGGGTACTGCTACCGTCATCGTTATTGTTCAGCTTGAAGCCAGCCTTCTCTTCTCGGCCGTGAGGCCCTGGTGAGTGGCGTGTGCAGAGACTGCTGCGCCATGTCAGGGTCGGGAGCAGGGACTTGGGCCCAGGACGGCGTGTTTGAATGTGGGCTCTGCCACTCACCAGCTGTGTGGTGACCTGGCCGCTCAGTGCCTCAGTTTCCCCACTGTGATTGGGGACCCACCTCCGAGAGCTGTGGTGGGAATGATCCGAGTGGTCGTAAAGAGCTTAGAATGGGACCCAGCAGCCGCAAGTGCTCGGCTAAGCAGAGCTACCGTGGCACTGGCGGTGGCGTGCTCATACCCGCTTGCTTCATTCATTCATTCATTCATTCATTCATTCATTCATGCAGAGAGGCAGCCTAGAAGGACGACAGTGCATAGCAGGGCTCTGGGGTGGCATGTTTGTACCCCAGCTGTGCTGCTTATAGACTGGTGCCCAGGGGTGTGTGGCTTCACTGCTCCAAGCCTATTTCCCCCTCTATAAAATGGGGACAGAAAGAGGGCCCACTTGCAGGTCTGTTGCGGGGAGCACAAGTTCCCTTCTGTGGGGGGCGCCGCCTGCCTCGAGGGCAGCGTCAGTAAGTGTCGGACACCATCCTCCTCCTCTGCGTCCAGCACACCCGCATTGACTCCTGCGTCCGGGTGTGCGGAGCGGCTTGCAGCTGGGCATGTCTTCAGTGGGCCATGGGGAGCCACTGAAGGTTCTTGAGCTGAGAGGGGACCCATCCAGGCTGGGCTCCCGGTGGATTGTCCTGGTCTCTGCCAGAGCGGTTCTGGTCTGAGTGAGATGGCGTGAAGGCCGATGAGGGAGGTGGCCTTTCTGTCCCCAACTGTGAAGGTTGCGGGGAGCGGCTGTGTCGCTGGCAGCCTGCCGAGGAGGTGCGGACAGGTGGGGACCCTGAGACCAGCTTGGCCCCTGAGTGAGAACAGGTGATTTGGGAGCACGGGGTGGGCTCTTGCCTCGAGACCTGCAGAGGAAGCTGGCCAGCAGGTGTGGGGCCCGTCACAGGTGGTCCAGCTCAGCCTGGGGCCCCCCGTTGTGACAGTGGCTGGCCTCGGTGCAGGGGTGAGCTCCCCGTCGCTGGAGTATGCAAGCAGGCTCGTGAGGGAGGCTGCCTCCCCTCCTCCCCTGCCCCCTCCAGTCCCAACGCGGTGACAGTCCCGATGCCTGTTGGCCCAGCCCCGTCTGGGGCACGGGGAGACGTGTCCCCCTCGGCCAGCGAAGGAGGCAGCGGGGAAAGCACAGGGACCGAGGGGCAGCAGCGTCCCCTCGCGCCCAGCGCCAGGCCTGGCTGCAGCGTGGCCGCGGCGGCGTCAGCAGGAAGCAGGGTCGGGCTGCAGGCGGAGCGTCGGCGTTATGTAACGCCTGGCACCCGCGAGCTCTCCGAGGTTTCCCTCCCTCTCCGCGTGGCCGAAGGTTACCCCTCTCCCATCTGCGATCCAGCCCTGGGGCTCCACTTCCGCGCTCCTCAGGCTCTGTCTGTCTCGCCCGGCCCGGCCCTGCGTGGTTCCCCGTCTCCTTTTCCGTCTGCGCCTGCGCAGCCTGTGGGGAGCGGCTCGGCAGGGCAACCTCCCGACCTGCGTGCAGACCTGCGGTGCTGTGCCGTCGCGGGCAGGCGTCTTTGCCCTCTGACCCGGTGCCCTGGTCTCCCAGGTCCACGCAGCTAAACGAGCCTTACAGAGCGCCTGTTCCATGCCAGGTGCCGTTCCAGGGACAGATAGACAGGTCCCAGCCCCCGAGGAGCAAGGCCTAGCACCGGGGACACGTTAACACACGCTTTCAGGACGTGGTCCGAACACGCCGCTCCGAGGGATGTGGTGGAGGGTGGGGCGGGAGGGGTGGCCGATTTTGGCAGGAAATCAGGGAAGACCTCTTGGGGGAAGTGACGGCTCAGCAGAGCCCTGGAGGAGGCGAGGAAGTGGTCCACGCGGGTCTAGGGGAAGGGCGGCCAGGCAGAGGAGCGGTCGGCACGGAGGCCCCGGGCGGGGAGGGCAGCGTGGAGAGGTAGGGGGTCCGGGTCTGGGTCACCAGGGCCGTGTGGACAGGGGAGGGCAGCGTGGAGAGGTAGGGGGTCCGGGTCTGGGTCACCAGGGCCGTGTGGACAGGGGAGGGCGTGGAGTGTCAGTCCAGGTGTTGGGGAGCCCTGGAGAGTTGGAAGCAGGGCTGACATGCCCTGACTTGCACAGCAGCTGTGCGGGTCCGATGAACTGGCAGTGGAAAACGTCTCGCATACAGCAGGTGCTTAATGAACGTCGCTGTGGTGGTTAGTGCTGGCAGGACTGACCTCTCCTGCTCCATGCACGCTTCTGCCCCACACGGGCTGGGCCGTTGTGCGGAGGATTCGCTGGGATTCAGGGGCACAGACCCAGCGGGGGGTTTGGGGTGTGGGCACCATCTTCTCCCGCTGCCGCCAGGCCTTGGAGACCCCCCCCTGCCCCCGGGACTCCGGCTCCAGAGGGTGTGTTTCGTGGCCAGGCCGGCCAAGACCCCCGTTCTGTGAGCCCCCGCCCGGCCCCAGCCTGCCCGCGGCCCCCGGTGCAGAGGAGCGTGGCGCACACAGGTGCCCGCGGGGCGTGTGGGTGACGGCACGAGTGCCCGGCTGGCCCGTCTCCTGGGCTCGCGGGGGTGGGGGAGCAGTGCAGGGGGGAGGCCGGTGTCCACACGTGCGGGCGGACGGGCCGGCAGGGCCGCGCTGGGGCTGGGGGGCCGGCGCAGCCCTGGGGCCTCCGGCAGAGGCAGGTCCCCGCTCGGGAGGGCGGGCGGGGCGGCGACGGCGGGAGCCAGGCAGGGTGGAGGTCGCCCCGGCGGCCACATGGCGGTGGCTGCCCCCCCCCCAAGCTGCGGCGTGGCGGGCACGGGAGTCCCGGCCCACAGCCCAGGCCCTGACGCCCGCCCCGCCCCTGTCCCCAGGAGAAGGAGAGGAACGCGCGCAGGAAGAAGAAGAAGGCGCCCGCGGCGGCCAGCGAGGAGGCGGCCTTCCCACCCGCGGCGGAGGACGAGGAGATGGAGGCGTCCGGCGGCAGCGGCAACGAGGAGGAGATGGCGGAGGAGGCGGAAGGTGAGGGAGGGCGCGGCGGCTGGTGTGGGGGCGCAGCCGCCCCTTGCCCTGCGACGTCTGGTCCTTTTTGGAGGGGCCGGACCCCGCGGGGAGGGGCGAGGCGGTGGGCAGGGGTCTCCCCGACAACGGGCACTGGGATGGTGGCGGCGACGGCGGCGCTGACAGTCGCCACCCCGTGAGCCCCGAGCCCCACCCGGCCCCCCTGAGGGGCGTGGGTGCCCGTGTGGCCGGGACAGCCCTGCCGCCGCCGCAGCCTTGCCACCCCGCCCGGTGCCACAGTTCGGGAAAGATTTCACTTTGGAAAATGGTTTTTGGACTTAAAGCTGTTTTTACAAGTTGGCCAGAATAAACAGAACCGATCTGTTAGTCCATCAACGCTTCAGAGGTTACGGGGTCACGTTTAGTGCCGCCTCTTACTCCCGAGTGCCCTGGCTGGGTGGCACATCCTGTGGACCCCTTACGAACGGTCCCCGCTTCCATCCGGGGGAACTGAGCACGGGGCAGGCACAGGTGAGGGCTCAGGTGTCCCCGCCAGGTGAGGGCTGCCGGGGGCAGAGCGGGAAGCGGTGATCATCTGGGTTGCACCGCAGCCCCCTCTCCACCCCCAAAGGCAGGACTGTGACCACATATGGTCGTCATCTTGATTTTAGCGCCCCCATCCCCGTAGCACGTGGCTCAGCCGTGTAATAGTCGCTCGGAGACCCAGGGAGTGAGCCCAGGCGGCCCACGGCTAGGCCCTGCGCTCCCCATCACTAAGTCACCTTTGACCCCGCCCTGCACCTCTGCTTCCCGCCAGAGGAAGCTGGGTGTAGACCTGCCCCCACCCCGGCACTGGGTCACCCCTGAAGGCCCCAGCCCTTGCTGGGCCAGATGCCTCCGTCTCTCCTCCCTTCTCTGGCCAGAGCGTCCCAGCCTGGTCCTCGGGTTCAAGTTCGTTCCTCCTGCCACCCGTCTTCCTACTGTTCCTGTCCGCCTCCTTTTCCGAATCCGGACTCCCCGGCTTCCGCCAAGGTGGCGAAGGAGGTGCAAGTCCCCTCCTGGGCCCCCAAGCGAATTCGGGCCCTGCTGGCCCCACGGTGTCTTCACCAGCCCGGATCCTCCATCCCGGTTGGAAGTGGATAATCGGCCCTCCGGCTACTGCCTTCTCCAGCCAGGGGAGGGTCAGGGGTGCGGAGTCTGGCCTCCCGGCAGCTCTGGGTCTCTCTAGCCCGAGTCCACCAGAGGCCTGGCCGGCGTCCAACGGGAGGCCACGGCTGCAGGCCCCTCTGGCTGTCCCATTTTGGGTCCTGGGTTGTAGCCAGGAAGAGAGAAGACCTAGGGAGCAGTAACCCTGTCTCCTCTCAAAATATCCTCCCAGCTGTCCAGCGGGCAGGGCAGGCTTGGTGGGAAAACTGGAAGAAACCAGACTTGGGCTCGATATCAAGGCAGGAGCAAACGCATGGTAGTGAGCTCCCTGTCACCTGTAGGATTCGCCTATCCCATATCCCGGTAGGGACAGGGTTGGAGGGTGCTGGTCTAGCCAGGGTTGAGGGTCCTGTGACCACCTGGCTTCCACGGCAAGAACAGCTGTTTAGAAGGCCCTGATTAGGCCTCCCGGCACCCACCCTGGTACCCAGGGTGTTACACCTATCTTGAGGATGAGGAAACTGAGGCACAGGGACAGGGGGATCACTCACATGGTGTCCTCCAGCCCAGCCAGCATTCACTGTGTGACCCCGTCCCTGTGACCAGGATTGGGGAAGTAGGACTTGGGTTGGGGCCTGAGCTTGCCCTGACAGAACCTTCCGGAAGCCCCAGCCAGCCCAGTGGTGCTGCAGACCCCTTCATGGGGGCAGGCGGAAAGTGTCTTGTTGGCACTAGGCTGGAAGCAAACCGGGTGCAGGGGAGGGAGGAACCCACTGGCCCGGTGCCGTTTCCTGGAACAGTGACGTCCCCGTGACAGCAGGAGCCTCGAGTTAGCCCCCCCATCGCGACAGCGGCACGAAGCTGGGATGTCATCGTCCCTGTTATTTGGCAACAGAGACTCACACTCAGCCTGGCTCTGGAAGCCTCTCTCCACGACTTGGCTGTGCAGGAGGGAGAGCCGGCCAGGCGTGGTTTGGTTTTGGTATTTTTTTAAGCAGCGCGGAGCACGTGTCCTAGGCCGGCGGTTGGCTCGGTCGTGCCCATTCTTGGGCCCCAGCCTGCACCTACTGAGTCAGGAACCTCTCGGGGACGGAGCCCTCTGGGGGCTTCCGCTGATGTAGACCTCTTGGTCGCAGTGACAGTCTGGTGCTAGCTGTCCATCTACATTTTGTAGATGAACAAACCGAGACTCCAGAGGTCGGGCCGCTTGTCCCAGGGCTACCAGCGTTGGCCTCCCCACGTCCCGTGGTCTGACCGCGTGGACAGGAGGGGCTGACACGGCTACAGTCACCCGGCAGGGGCGGGGAGCCCAGTGGCCTGGGACGCGGGCTGGCGGTTCAGTGCGTCTGCCCGCCGCGGTGCGGCCTTGGGCGGGCTGCCGACCCTCCCTGCCTCCTCTGCGTGCCTGCAGAGGACAGCGGCCCGTCTTCTCTCGGGTCCTTGTGACCGAGCGGGCCACGTGTGCGCAGAGCTCAGCGCAGAGCCTGCAGGGAGCGAGCGTGTGCGGCTGCTTCCGGAAGGGGAGCCCGCTGCTCCGGGCCTCGCAGGGGGCTGGGGAGTCAGTGGGGGCCTCTCTCTCCAGCCCTGCCCACCCTAGGTCGGCACCCCACCCCAGGGCGCCAGGAGGCCAGTGCCTGGTCCGGAACACCCGGAGTGGCCGAGGCTTGCTTTTCCCTGGGTGACCGCGTCACTGGCTGGCCTCAGGCCAGCCCTTGGACCTGCCTGTGCAGGGCTGCCTCCAGCCACCTGCGGCGGCCCAGGCCAGAGCCCGGGGGCAGTGGGGTCCGAGTGGGAGGGCAGGGGGGTGAGCTGCCTGCGGAAGCCGCTGTGGGTCCCCTCTTCCAGCCACCCCGCCCACGGCTGCCGCCCCCTCAGTTCTAACTCTTCTCTAACTTCCTTCCAGCCTTACACGCCTCTGGGAATGAGGTGCCCAGAGGGGAATGCAGTGGCCCAGGTACGGACGTGGCCGGCTGGCCCGGGGGGCAGGGGTAGGGACGGGGAGGGCACCTGTCGCTTACGAGGGGCCCCACTCCTAGAGCATGCATGCCTCTGCCACGAGCACCCTGGTCTGCTGCTGCCGCCTCTGTGCCCCTTCCCGGTGCAGTGTCTGTTCCCCATGCTGGCCCAGCGTGCAGGTCAGGGGTCCCTGCTTGCCTGTGCTGCCGGGTCTCCCTGTGTGCGCCCTGGGCCTCTTGCTGTTCGTTTCCACAACGGCAAATACGGGGGTTTCCAAGTGTCCCTGTTTATAGAAAACTGGGGAGACTGAGACCCAGTGGAGTGGCAGGAGTGGGTCTGAGGGCTAAAGATGCAGGACTGGAGTGGGGGAGGGGTCCCTCAGCCTCCTGCCATGAGGCGTTGCCATGGGCTATCCCTGGGGCCTCTGTGTGGACGCTGGTCCCATCAACATTGCCCTGTTGGGGTGATGGCGATGATGCCACACTAGGTACCTCACTGGCTCACCCACCCTGTGAGGTAGGAACTGCGGTTCTACTCATTTTGCAGCTGGGAAAACTGAGGCCCGAGAGGTTACCTGAGTTTCCTGAGGAGCATAGCCAGTGAGGGGCAGAGCCCCAGGGTGGGGCTCAAATGAGAACATGGAGACCCCCAAGACGGAGGGCTGTGCCCCTTGGCCACCCTCAGTGTAGCTCTGTTGGGGGTGCTGGAGGCCAGGAGATCCCCGGGGTTGGGAGTTAGCTAGGTGGTGGGCACCAGGCTCGCCGGGGAAGTAGGTGGCCACCTGTAAAGGCAGCCACCTGGCCAGTGGCTTTGTCTCAGAGGTGGGGCTCCGGGCAGGTGCCCAGGTGCGTGGGAGCCACAGGGCTGTTTTAGCGTCAGGCAGCGGCCACTGCACCCCACGGGGCCCGCCTGCCTCCCGGCCCCGCTCAGCCTGTGTTCTCCCCGCAGCCCCCGTCAACAACAGCTCCGACACGGAGAGCGTCCCCTCCCCGCGTGCCGAGGCCGCCAAGGACACAGGGCAGAACGGGCCCAAGCCGCCGCCCGCCCCGGGCACCGCCGAGGGGCCGCCCCCCGAGCCGCCCACCCCTCCGCCCGAGGACGCCCCGGCCCCCGCCGAGCCCGCCCCAGCGCCCGAGGCCGCCGGCCCGCCCACGCCCCCGCCGGGCCCCGTGTCTCCCTCCGCGCCCCTGTCCGTGGTCCCCAAGGAGGAAAAGGAGGACGAGGCCCCGGCGCCCGCGCAGGAGGACGGGGACGAGCAGAAGCCGCCCGCGGCCACAGAGCCGGCGGCGGAGCCGGTGAAGGCGGAGGAGCCAGGGGCGGCGGTGCCCCAGGAGCCCGTGAAGAGCGAGTGCAAGGAGGAGCCCGACGCCGGCCCGGACGCGGGCAGGGGCGCCGACGCCACCGCGGAGGCTGCGCCTGACGGCGCGCTCAAGGTGGAGAAGAAGGAGGGCGCCAGCGGCAGGGCCCCCGCGGCCAAGGGCTCAGGTGCCCCCCAGGACAGCGACTCGAGCGCCACCTGCAGCGCCGACGAGGCGGACGAGCCCGAGGGCGGCGACAAGAACAGGTGAGTGCGGCGGCGGCAGCTGTGGACTCGGGCTTTTGTCTGCGCGCGTTGGTTGCGTGCACGCGTTGGTCTGCAAGCGCATTGGTTGCGTGCGCGCGTTGGTCTGCAAGCGCATTGGTTGCGTGCGCGCGTTGGTCTGCAAGCGCGTTGGTGTGCACGCGCGTTGGTTGTGCGCGCGTTGGTTCTGCGTGCTCCTTTGTTGTGCGCGCGCATTGGTTCTGCAAGCGCATTGGTTCTGCAAGCGCATTGGTTCTGCGTGCTCCTTTGTTGTGCGCGCGCATTGGTTCTGCAAGCGCATTGGTTGTGCGCGCACATTGGTTCTGCAAGCGCATTGGTTCTGCAAGCGCTTGGGGCCGGCTCTGCCTGCCCTGGGGGGGCCCCTGGTCCGGTGAGGGGGGCAGACCCGGAACAAAGTCCGGGAGCAGGCCGGAGGGGGTGACGGTCAAGCTGAGACTGGACGGAGCTGGAGGCAGCCACGGGAGGTGCTAGGGGGAGAGTGTGCTGGGCTGCGTGCATGAGTCTTCTAGGGTTGCGGTCACACAGTCCCAGGGACCACAGTTGTGCTCTGTCACGGTTCTGGAGGCCAGAAGTCCGAGAGCCAGGTGCTGGTGGGCCTGCGGCGGCGGCCGCAGCACTCCTGGGCTCATGGGCACGTCGCCGTGGCCTCCGTGTCTGCCGTCACGTGGCTTTCTCCCGCGTGGGTCTCCCTGTCGAGGTTTCTTCTTAGAACTCCAGGCCCTGGACTAGGCCCGCTCCGAACCAGCGTGGCCTCCTTAACGTGAGCACATCAGGAAACAACCCGTTTCCCGATAAGCCGCGTTCCCAGGGCCCCAGCTTAGGGTGTGACGCACCTTCTTGGGCAACTCGATTCTACCATCAGCATGGCAGGAAGAGCAAGCGTGGGGGCAGGGCAGGGATGTGGGGTGAGCCGGGGTGACTCAGGAGCGGAGGGGTGGGGCGAGGGGGGCCTCGCAGGCCCAGTGGGTGGCTGCGCCTGTTCTCAGACCCCGGGAGGGTCGGGGTGTGGTTCGCCCTCCGGAAGCAGCCGCAGGCTGCGTGTGCAGGGCGGGGTGGCGGGGAGCTCTTCTCCCATGGGCCAGGGGTGCCCGGCCCTCCGCTCTTGGGGTCCCGGGAGGTGGGGAGGTTCTCAGGGAGGCAGTTCTTTTCCTGTTGGGGTGACCCAGCGGGACCCTGCGCCTCCTTCCCTCACCCCTGCCTCTGTCCCTGGCGTGGGCGCCCCTCCCTGAGGCCCGATGAGGGCCGGTCCCGGTGGCCGAGGGCAGACCCTTGGCGACGGTGCCTGGGCCCCGCTGGCATCCGGCTGGCTGGAGGAGCTGTTTGCCGGCGAGGCGGGCGGGTCGCCTCGTCTCACTGAAAACGGTGCTGTGTGCTCTCCTCGAGCCCCTGGAGAGTCCCGGGCGGAGCAGGGGAGAGCCGGCCTCCCTGCTCGCGCAGAGGCCTTCCTTTGCCCGGGATTCGCCTTGGGGCACGTGAAGCTGGCACGTTCTGGAACGTTCACTGTGGTCTCAGACTCGCCCCCCCATGGGGTCCTTCGGTTCCACACCGGGAGGTGAGGCCCAGGTGTTCTCCGTGTCCTGTGTCGGGGGTCCCTGGAGACCGCTGCCCGCGAGAGCCTCACCTGCGTGCGAAACCGTGGGCGGGTGGGGCCCAGAGGCAGCTTCCGAGGGGGCAGGGCTCCCGACCTTTCTGCTCGGCAGCATAGCTCGGAAAACAGTGCTCACCGTGAGGCTCGGCCGGCCAGGGTCTCCACGCCTGGGTCCCCACCCCGCACCTGCTGGCCGTGGGGACGCAGTCATGGAAACATGTTCCCGCCTGCGGCGAGAACGCTTGAGCTCACGGGGCGGCCATGCTGATAAACGGCCTCCCGGAGTCTGTGTTTTGGGGACACATGGCCTGCCCCGGGGGCGGGGATGTTGGCTTGGATCCCGGCAGCCCCCAGACCCCTCAGGCCAGGCCCTGTGCCCCCAGCAGGGTACGCTCGGCCTCCCGCCCTCCCCCCAGAGCCCCACACGGGGACGTGCCTGCCCCTTCCCCAGCTGGGCCTGGTGCCCGTCCACCTCCCGCCTGGGGTCCGGCGTCCAACCCCTGGGGAGCTGGAGTCTCGGCTGGGAGTCGCGACACCTGGCTCGTCATGCCCTGTGTGGCGGGGGCTGGTTCCCCCCTCGGGCCCTGCCTGGCCCTCTCGGCCAGCGCGGCTGGACACGGGCCGGGCTGCTGACCTACTCCTGGCCGCAGCCGCCGCCCCTCCCTCTGCCGGCCGCGTCAGAGCCAGGGCCTCCTGGGAAGGGCCGAGGGACGGGCGGGGCCCCTGGGTGACCCCGGTCCTGGCCGCTGCCCTCCGCCCTCCTCCCACCTGGCAGCCCCAGCCGGGCGAGCTCCGTGTCCCTGGAAGTTGCCCGGACAACCTGGGAGAGGGAGCCACGTTCGGCCTCTGCTCTCAGGCGCTTTCTGCCAGGCAGCTCTGCCGGGCGCCTTCCTGGCCAACGACCAGGGATAGTGGCTTTGATGGCAAATCCCGCGCCCGCCTGCCCTCCCCCACTCCTTTCCTGGAGAAGGCGGCTGGACGCTGCCTGGCAGGGCTGGGCCCTGGGACCCCTGCCCCGGCCTCGGCTGTCCCATCCTAGGATGGGCGTGGAGGGCTCGCTGCGAGAGTAGCAGGGTTGATGGCCGTAAGCGCCAGCCCAGTGCTGGTCCGCATGGGCGCTCGGGGAAACGTTGGCGGCCTCCTCTGGAGCCGCTGCGGGACCCCAGAGCCACTCGGAGAAGGGCTGGAGTGTGGCTTCCTCGGCCGTCCCCCTGGGGTTCTGACAGAATCCTGACGGCAGTTTGTCCTCCGTTCCTCCAGTGCCTGGGCGCCCGTGCCGGCCCGTGTGTAGGTGCTGGGGCGTGGGAACAGGACAGACGAGGCTCTGGGCGGTCTCGAGAGAGTGAGGACAGCCCTGGCCGTGGCTCACCTGCTAAGGGGGCAGCGGGAAGACGGGGCCCGGGGCTGGCAGGCAGGGAGGGCCTCTCAGAGGAGGTGACACTGGAAGGTGACGGGAGCCCAGCCGGGGGCAGCCCGTGCAAAGGCCCTGTGGCCACATGAACGCATGTTCCGTGGGCTGCAAAGAGGCCCATGGCGAGGGGCAGAGTGGATAGTTGGGGGGCGACAGGGCGCAGGACAGGAGGTCACGGTGGGCGGGGCCCCGGGGTTGGGGTGAGGAGTCGGCCCTAGGGGGGCAGAGGGTGTCTGGTTCGCAGGCCAGCCCGCCCCCACCCCCAGCCCTGGGGCGTGGCAAGGACTGTCCCCGTCTGGTGACCATGGGGAAGCTGAGGCAGGGCTCTGTGGACTTGGGGACGCACTGTCACAGGCCAGCGCGCTGCTGATGGACGTCCCAGGCCCTGGTCTCCCCGCCCCTCCCCCAGCCCCGGCCTTCCACAGTGGGGGGAGACAGGAGTAAGACGATGGCCTGCCCGGGGGGCTCGGGTGCTGGCCACGTACCTCCCCTTGGTCACCCTCAGGACAGACAGCCCGTGGGGTAGCACCTGCTTCCTCTCCGTGTTACAGATGAGGAAACTGAGGCACCGTTGGCTGTTACATGGTCAAAGGGAGGGGACTTGAACTCAGGGCCTGAGCTCTCAGCCATGGGACTGGGTAGGCAGGGCAGGCGCCTGGCCCCGAGATCCCATCCCCACCCCTCCCCAGACCCCCAGAAAGGGACATAAAAGCCGCTGTCTTCTAAGAAGATGCGGGGGGTGGAAGAGGCAGAGCCACAGAGAGGGCTGGCGGGTGGTCTGCACCACTCCCGTTCCTTCTCCCGTGTCCCCTCCCGTGTCGGCAAGCCCCGCCCTGGCGGGGGGGTGTTGGCCCAAGGTCACGTGCAGACATGCGTCTCCACCCACGAGGCGGCTGCTGGGGTCAGTGGCGACTTGCAGCAACACTGTCACTCGCTGCCCCAGCCCCTGCTCCCACCTCTGTGCCCATCCCCGGCAGTCCGACTGTTCCTTCGCCGCGAGGGCCTGCGAACGGCGCAGGACGAGGCGCAGCGCCCGTGCCTTAGGAGGCCCCACTCAGATGGTCCGTGTGGGACACCGACACTCTGTTTCGTGTGTGTTGAAAGTTCACGTTTTGTGCCCCTGCGGAATCATAGCCACCTACACGGAAGTCTGAAAGTCTGTATCTTAGCGTTTTTCTCACGCATACGTATAAAATATATGTTTTTGCCGGTAGCAGAAAGAATACAGTGGACACATGGAATCCTTTATGGCTAGCATCGGGATGTTGTTCCCTTTAGTGTCAGCTTCTTTAGGACAGATCCGTGTCCACACAGGTCGGTCTTGGTATAGTCAAGTGTGGCTATAGTGTCACAAAGCCATCACCCCGGAAAGGGACAGTGAACCGTGAGCGGTCACTCCTTATTTCTCCCCCGCCAGCCCCAGCACCCACCAGCGCACTGTCTGTCCCTGTAGCTTCGCCCGTTCTGGACGTTTCGTGGGGTGGGATTCCATGGCTCGTGGCCTTTTCTGTGTGGCTGGTGGCATAGTCCGTGGGTGCCGTGGCCTGCGTCCGTGTCTGGTCCCTTCCGGGAGAGAGCGGGAGACCACGTCCTGTGCGTCCGTCCCTCCGGGTTGCCACCTCGGCCACGTGGCCGGTTCTGCCATGAGCTTGGTGTGTGGTTTTGCGTGGACGCGGGCTCCGTGTGTCGTGAGCGCACCAGGGCTGGGCAGGTGCGGTCGCAGGGGACCGTGCATTCGGCCTTGCGAGGAGCGGCCGGACGGCTCTGCGCCGTGCTGCAGCGTTCACTTTAAATTTCAGTTTGCAGAGGCGAGCGGTGGCAAGGGCCGCCGAGGGGGAGTGAGGGGGGGTGACGGGCGGGGGGTGACGGGCGGCCGGAGGAGCGGGTGGGGGTGCAGGCAGGCTGTGGCATCGCCGTGGGACAGTGGGACGGGTCAGGGCGCCCTGGCCTGCAGGTGGCGGGAGAGGAGGGCGGCAGCCAGAGCAGAGGCGCTGGGTCCGCGGAGAGCGCGGGGACAGGTGGGAGCTCGGGAGGGTTTTCTCTGCAGGAGTCAGGGTGACCTTGCTGTCTCGGCCTACCTGCGCCGTGGGCAGTTGCACCGGCGTTGCCGGCCTGTCTCCGCTCTGCCCGCTCGGCCAAGCGTGTGGCAGATGCGGGCAGGAGGCCGCTACCCGCGGGGCTGGCTTGTCACGTGCCCGGGCAGGAAGGAGACCGGATCTCCTTGTCGTTGGCCGTCCCGCCTGGGCAGCTGGGGCTCGGTGGCAGGGGCCACGTCCTGGTGGCCGTCACGGCTCTTGCCTTGAGGCGGCGGCTGTGCCTTACGGTGTGTACGTGCACCAGCTCCCGTGGTCACTGTGCACTGCGGGGCTGTGCCTGCAGTCGCCACCTCGCCTCAGACCTGCCTCAGTCCTGCCGCCTGGCGGAGCTCCGGCCCACGCTGGGCCGCGTGGCCGCGCCTGCTCTGTGCCGGTGGGCGCAGGTGGCAGGAGGGAGGCGAGAGCGAGGGTTGAGGGCTCCTGGGCTGCAGCAGACCCTTTCCTGCTCTCGGAGTCCTTGCGCCAGAAGCGGGTTGTGGCAGGTGCCGTGCCCAGGGCCAGGGTCCTGGGAATCCTGGAAGGCTTCCTGAAGGAGGTAGCACCCACCAAGCAGCTCAGGAGCCGCACCCCGGTCAGGCTCTGTCCCCGCGTAGGGCTCCGGCTCTGGGTCACAGCTGCAGACGGAAGGGCCGGCCCTGTCATCTCAGGGTGGGCGATGCGCCCTCTGCCCCATGCCAGGCCCCGGCCCACCTGTCCTCATCCCCCAGCGGGAGGTGAGCGGGAGAGGAGGGCCCGGCGCGCGGGGCAGCACCCACCGCCCGACAGTGGACTGGGCTCCATGCCGAGGCCCCGCTCCGGGCCCCTCGCATCTGGGCTCCTCCAGGTTTCCCTTGCCGGGGCTTTCGGGGGGTGTCTGGGTCCTGACCTCTGGGCCGGGGTTGGTCCCGGCCCTGCTGGGGCCTGCGTGGCCCAGGGCAGGAAGGGAGGGGCCCCTGCGCCCCGAATCTCGGCGGGTTCCTCGGGGGAGAGAGGCGGCGACCTGGCCGGGTGACCCTGGACAGCCGGCTCCCGGCGCCGTGGCTGAGGCTGGCGCGGCTGCAGGTGCCCAGCCTGACGCGTGTGCCCCGCAGGCTGCTGTCCCCGAGGCCCAGCCTCCTCACGCCCGCCGGAGACCCCAGGGCCAACACCTCCCCCCAGAAGCCGCTGGACCTGAAGCAGCTGAAGCAGCGGGCGGCCGCCATCCCCCCCATCGTGAGTGCCCGCGCCGCGCCCCAAGGGGCCTCCCCGGCCTCGGCTTCCCGCTCACCGAGGCGGCCGCGCAGTGGGCACGCCTGCACCTGCGGCCAGCCCTGCGTCCCGCTTCCCGGAGCCGTCCCCATGGAGACGAAACGGCACTGAGAGCCGGGGGTTGGGGTGGGCACCCCCTCCTGTGGCATCTTCAGAGCAGCAGCTCCTCCCGCACCCCCAGGGCCCCCCGAGCCCCCAGACCAGACGCTGGGCTGCGGGAGCAGTAGCCCCCACGCCGAGCTGTAGCAACTCCTTGGCCAGAGAAGGGGGGCCCCCCAGCTCCGATCCTGGGCCTGCTGGAGGATTCTCCTGGCCAGGCAGGCGGGTGGTCCTCTTGGGGGTAACCCCTCCAAGGAGGAGGGTCCACGGTCCCACAGGGGCTATAGAAGACCCTGAGCTGACCAGGCGAGGCTGTCACTTGGGGCTTTGAGTGCCGGGTGCAGGGGTGCCGGTCTGCCCGGCCAGCTCCCTGCTTCTCTGAGACCCAGAGGATTTGGGGTGCAGGGAAGGAGCCAGGCAGGCCGGGTTTGGAGATGGCTCCATGTGCTTGGTGCTGAGACCCACCTGTGACCTTGAGCACCTGGCTGGCTCCTTGGGGCCTCGGTTTCCAGGCTAGGCACATGCAGGTCTCTCCCTGACCTCTGTCACCTTCCGACATTGTACACAGACACTCACTTCTCCCGGCTTCCCTCAGCAGGTCACCAAAGTCCACGAGCCTCCCTGGGAGGATGCAGCTCCCCCTAAGCCGGCCCCCCCTGCCCCACCGCCAGCGCAGCACCTGCAGCCGGAAGGTGACGCCCCCCAGCAGCCCAGCAGCAGCCCCCGGGGCAAGAGCAGGAGCCCCGCGCCGCCCGCCGAGAAGGAGGGTAAGTGCCTGGGGAGGGGCCGATGGCAGGGACGGGGTGTCCGGGGTCTGGCGGGTGCTGCTGCCTCCAGCCTGCCGTGCAGGGTGGGCAGGCAGAGTGGCCGAGTGGACACGTTCAAAGTGCGGTGAACACCTGCGGAGGAGCCCGGCCGCGGTCTCCGGGCTGGCCCTGGGCCCACCGGCCTGGCCGGGCCTATGCTGTTTCCTGGACGTGCTCCCCGCGGGGCCAGCACACCTGGTGACAGGCACTGCGCGCCTCTCTCGCGCGCAGTCTGGTTCGCAGCCCAGCTGCCTTGGGACGCGCAGGGACCTGACACCCAGCGCCGCCTCTCTGGTCTCGGGAAGCAGGCCCGCCCGCCCGCCCTGGCTCCCTCACGCAGCGGCGCAGCCAGGCAGGTCCCCTGGGCTCCCCTGGGCCCGGCTGGAGGAACAGGTTGTCTCCGCAGGCTGTGGGCCGCCTGCCCGGCCTGGCCCAGCCCCAAGTTTCCCTTCCAGCGCGGCGGCCCTCCCCCGCCCGCCCCGCCCCAGCTCTCCAAAGCTGAGCCGCGGGAAGGAAGCAGCGGGGCCAGGCACGCTCAGGGCTGGGCGGCTGGGGGGGGCAGGCGCACTCAGGGCTGGGGCTGGTTGAGACTTACTCCCTGCATCCGCGCCCCTCCTGCGGGCTGCCCACCTCGCCAGGGGCGTGGGTGCAGGGCAGGACTCCATCTCTGCCGGGAGATTAGAGACCACACGGCACACAGGCCTCTGCTTCCCGCCGCCATGACCCCGGCAGGCGTCACCAATTGATCTTAGCACTCACTCTCCTGCCGCACCCCACGGGCCTTCAGAACCTCCTTCATCTGGAGGTGGCCCGGAGGTGCCCTGCCTCCGTTCCTGCGCCAGCGGCCAGAGGGCCCTGCCATTCCCTACTTGTGCCGGTGCCCAGCCTCTTAGCCAGTTACCTGGCTACAGGGGAGGTTCAGAGCTCGGGTCGGATTTCGGCGTAGGGTGAGAAGCCAGCAGGAAGCGGCCCTGAAGGCAGCCCTGAGCCCCTTGCCGCGTCCGGGGCATGCCCGGGCTCCGGATCTAGGGCCGATCATTGCGCCCCTCTCGCGGGCAGCGCTGCTTGGCGGTTAGGGTCAAGGCCACGGCCCGTAGCCCGGGTTTGAAGCTCCCGTCTGCCACTCGTTCGCTGGAGCCTTTGACCAGGTGACTCAACCTCTCTAGGCCTCAGTTTCCCTATCTGTGAAATGGGGACAGTCACAGCCAGCTCCTCGTGGGCACCGTGACAGCGCGTGAGTTAACATGCTTAGACACGCCTTGGCCCGTGGGGGCCCGGGGTGAGCCTCGAGTCTGCTTATTGTCGAGGTGTTCTTTGCAGCCACGTGGGGTTCACATCCTGACGTGGCCGAATGTCTGTTGCTGACCTTAGAGGAGCCCGTGATGTGTCCATGCCTCAGTTTCCCCTGACAGTGTGGGGGCGGGGGGGGCGCGGTTCCAGCAGTGTCCGCCGGGGTGGCTGGGCGCGGCCTGACCTCCCGCCCCACGCCCTCAGCAGACAAGCCCGCGTTTTTCCCGGCCTTCACCGCCGACGCCCAGAAGCTGCCGGGGGAGCCGCCGTGCTGGGCCTCGGGCCTGCCCTTCCCGCTGCCCCCCCGCGAGGTGATCAAGGCCTCCCCGCATGCCCCGGACCCCTCCGCCTTCGCCTATGCGCCGCCTGGTGAGTGGCCGGCCAGCTTGGGCTCCCCCGGCCGTCAGGGCCAGCTGTCTGCACCGTCTGGGGCTTCGTGGGCGTGGCAGCGTCTCGGGGCCCAGAGGGCCAGCGGGAGGGGGGCCGGTCGCTGGAGCGGGAGGAGGGCGGCCTTTGAGTCTGGGAAAGGCGCAGGGTGGGGGCGGAAGTCGCGAGCAGTGGGAGCCCGGGGGTGCTGGAGCCGGCGAGGACCAGGCCGACCGGGGCGCTGGGGGTGGGCAGGTGTGGGAGAGCCGGGAGGGCGGGGTCTGCTGCGGTTCCCGGACGCCGGGACGCAGGTTTAGGGGCCGGGCCGCTGTAGGTCCTCCGTCCTGCTGGGCCTGGGGTCTGACGCAGCCACGATGCCAGCCGGGCCATCCCGGTCGTGCCCATCCTCACGGGCCAGGGGAGTCAGGAGAAGGGCGAGGAAAGGCATGGGGGCAGAGGGAACAGCACGTGCAAAGGTCCAGAGGCAGGGAAGAGCAGATGAGGCCCGATAACTGCAGCGGTTGGTGCCCAGTGAGCCAGGGGGACCCCGGGGCCAGGTCACGCACCTGACAGCCTTGTTGGGGGCCCACGCTCTATCCTGAGGGCAGTGGGAGCCATGGAAGGTTCACGGCAGGGGGAGGCGGGTGGGAACCTGCCGACTCCAAAGAGATCCCGTAGGTTCCCGGGAAGGGCTGTGGGACAAAGGGGGCACGGGGAGACCGGCCGGGGCGCAGGTGAGCAGGCAGGGCTCGGACTTGGGGCCGGGCGGGGGTACGACCGCTCTGGGCCCCCGCGATGGACAGACGGATGGACGGACGTGTGCCTGCAGGTCACCCGCTGCCCCTGGGCCTCCACGACGGCGCCCGGCCCGTGCTGCCGCGCCCGCCCGCCATCTCCAACCCGCCACCCCTCATCTCCTCCGCCAAGCACCCCAGTGTCCTCGAGAGGCACGTGGGTGCCATCTCCCAGGTGAGGGCGGCCCTTCCCTGCCGGGGCCCGGTCTTCCCGTGCGCAGAGTGGGCCGCCGGGGCCCGCGAGGCCTGCGGGGGTGGGGAGGCCCAGCTCTGGGGCCTGAGCCGTGTTCACGAGGACCTTGCCCTTGGGCGGCCGCCCTGCAGGTTGTCGAGAGCACGGGCTCTGGAACCTGATGGTGAGGCCTCAGGCAGGTGACTTGACGTCGGCGTGCCTCAGTTTCCCCCTGCGAGGTGGGAGAGCAAGTGCAGCACAAAGGGCTTGGCAGGGTGGCCGGCACATGGCGGGTGCTGGCTCCAGCCATCTGCCCCTACACCCCCGACCTGCCACCGCAGACGCAGCAGGGGGCCGGGCAGCCACGAGCCCCCGACGGTGGTGGTCCCTCTCAAGGGCAGGGGACCCGGGCTCCGGAGAGGCGGTGACTTGTCCGTGTCACGGGCTGGACAGCAGGGCCGGACTCTGGCCTGCATGTCCCTGGGGGCCTCCTGGCCCGTGGGGGGGGGCCGGGGGGCAGCGGGGAGGTGACCCCACCGCTCCACCCCTGCAGGGCATGTCGGTCCAGCTGCACGTCCCGTACTCGGAGCACGCCAAGGCCCCTGTGGGCCCCATCACCATGGGGCTGCCCCTGGCCATGGACCCCAAGAAGCTGGGTAAGGGTCCCGGGTGGCCCACCGTCCCAGTGGGGGTGGGTGAGGGACGTCTCGGCCCACGGGGCTCCGGGTGGCAGCTGGGAGGCCCCAGGGGTCCTGGCTGGAACGTGGGGGAGGGGCGGCACGTCACATCCCCTTGCAGCCCCTGTGTCAGGTCATGCCGGGCGGGGGCCTGACCTGTGTCCCTGCCTGGTGGCACGTGGCTCACCCCTCTCCGGTCCTCAGCACCCTTCAGCGGAGTGAAGCAGGAGCAGCTGTCCCCCCGGGGCCAGGCCGGGCCGCCGGAGAGCCTGGGGGTGCCCACGGCCCAGGAGACGTCCGTGCTGAGAGGTGAGGCCCCTCTGCCCTGCCCCTGTCCCCCAGACGATCAAGGCGGGACCAGGACCCTTTGTCCAGTCCGGTGGGGAAGTGTCACCTGTCAGCAGTCGTCTCCTCCCCGTCGAGGGGCAGAGGGACCCTCTGCCTGAGCCAGACGTGTGGCCCCAGGTCTAGGCTCGGGGAAGGCCACGGACACGCCCGAGCCCCATGTCTCTGTCTTGCAGGGACGGCTCTGGGCACGGTCCCTGGCGGGAGCATCACCAAAGGCACGCCCAGCACGCGGGCGCCGCCCGAGAGCCCCATCACCTACCGCGGCTCCATCACCCACGTAGGTGCCCGCGTCGCGGCGTGAGGGACGGGGGTGGGGGGGGCCGGCCCGCCTCCTGTCCCTCTGTCCTCGCCGCCCAGCCCCAGTAGGTGGGGTGGCCACTGGGGCGTAGCGATCCGCGCCGTGGACGTTCGACTTGTCCGCGCTGAGTCAGGCTCCACTCGCCGGCCGGAAGTTGGGCAAGATGGCGGGCGGCGGGCCCCGAGCGGGCGGCGGGCACTGAGCGGGCGGCTTCAGAGCGTGGTGCGCTCGGCAGCGGGCAGGAGACCGTGGCTGAGCGTGCCGGGGCCAGGCAAGGAGGGGGAGACCTCTCGAGGAGGTGGCGTGTCAGCCGTGGCGGGGACAAATCCAGAGCAAGCGTGCAGGAATCCGGGGAACAGCATTCTGGGCCCAGGGAACTGCGTGTGCAAAGACTGAAAGGTGGCAGGGTTCCTGGCCTGTGGCCACGGAGCTGGTGAGGGCTGGACCCAGGGTTTCGTGGCTGCGTGTCTGGCACTAGAACGCCGCGGCAGAGAACGGAGAGCCCGCACATGCCCGCCCACACGCGTGTGTTAATGGCGGGACCTTGGGCAGCAGGGCCCTCCACGGTTTTGGCTGTTTTTGCCCCAAGGAGCTGCAGCTCCAGCCACGGCGGAGACCCTCCTTGCTCCTTCCCTCCTCGCTCCTTCCCTCCTCGCTCCTTCCCTCCTCGCTCCTTCCCTCCTCGCTCCTTCCCTCCTCGCTCCGTCTCTCTCTGAAATCTATGGATTTTGGAATCTCAGGCTTTCGAAGGCAGCGTGTTGTGTGCAGGGGACAAATGCCGGGGGCGCTTGGATGCCAGCCGGCTCTGCCACACGCTCAGGCACGGCAGGGGGCCACCTGCCCTGCCTCGGTTTCCCTTTGATGGAAGTATCCCTAGGGGAGTCGTTCTCGTGACGTCATAGGGGTCAGAGGTCGACGTTGGAAGTTCCTGGGCGTCCCTCTGTCCCGGTCACGCCACGGCGGCAGCTGCCAAGGCACACGAGGTCGGCGAGCGCCAGGCTTCCCACGGCCTCGCTGGCAGGCCGTGGCGCGAGCGGCGCCGGCCCTCACCGAGGACAGGCACTCATTAACCGAGCGGCGGCGCGGGCAGGGCCCACGTGGCCCCCAGCCAGCGCGAGAGGCTCAAGGACGTACAGATCCCTGACCTTCCTGGGACTCCCCGCCCGCTGGGGCGGAGAGGTCACTGGGGCCGGCGCCAAGCGGCCACGGGCTTGTCCCCTGAGCGGACACTTGGCACACAGAAGCTTCCGTGCTTCTAGGAGTTTGTCCCGCATGTTCTTCCAAGGGCAGGGGCCACCCGCTGGGTTTCTGTCCTCCGTTGTTGCCTCGGAAGTTGGCACCTGTGTCATGTCGCAGCTTAAGACCATCGGGTCCCTGCGTGCTCGCCGGGAGAGCCCCTTCCTGTCGTCTGCCGTGCTACGCGGTGAGCCGCCGGGTTCCGCAGCTCAGACCCGGTTCTCACACGGACCAGGCGGCGACGGCCAGGAGACGCACACGTGGGTGCGCCGGCGGCACTCGGGCCTCCCTGGCAGAGCAGTGGATGCCGGAGTGGCCCCCTCGCTCAGCGCACGGTTGTGCGGGTTGTGCCGCGCGGTCGGTGCACGCGTGTTTTCAGACTCGCTCTCGGCTTGAACACCCCCGGCAGGGAGCTCACTCCCTGTAAGGCAGTGGGTCTCAGCTGGGGCCATGTTGCCCCAGATACCCAGGGAGATTCTGGCTGTCACAGCCCTGGGGGTGGAGCGGCACTCGGGGAGGCTGGGGGTCCCTCCAGAGCCCCCACGGTGCACACGGCAGCCCCCACGGTGCACACGGCAGCCCCGAGGGAAAGAACCATCTAGAGCCGGATGTCGACAGTGCCGAGGTTGAGAAACCCTGGGTTAGAACTAAAGTTTCTGGTGTCCTGCCTGGCCTGAGTCCTCGTCCTGGTTTTATGCAGCCAAAGTGCGCGACCTGTGGTGACAGGCGCAGCCCAGCAGCCGAGACCCCGCGGCCCCGCCCCTCGCTGTTGGCGGTGGGTCGGGAGGCTCTGGGAAGGCCACAGCCCGCAGCGGTGGGTGGTGGGAATGCAGCCCCAGGGCCACTGCCCGGGCCCCAACTCTGCCCCTCGCTAGCCAGGTGACCCTGGGTGAAGTCACCTGACCTCTCTGTGCCTTAGTTTCCCCATCTGAAATAGGCACAATGAACAGTACCTGCCTTAGGGCATCAAGGATGAAATGGGTTCGTCTGTGGAAAGTGCTCAGAGCGGTGTTCGTTAGGCAGTTGCGTCCTGGTGGGCTCCGTGCACGTGTGGGCACGTGTGTGCATGCGTGTGCACTGGGGGCCTGAGCGGTCCCCAGCCGCAGCCTCCCGGGTCTCGCTGCTCGCCCCGCAGGGCACTCCGGCCGACGTGCTGTACAAGGGCACCATCACCCGGATCGTTGGCGAGGACAGCCCCAGCCGCCTGGAGCGCGGCCGGGAGGACGGCCTGCCCAAGGGCCACGTCATCTACGAGGGCAAGAAGGGCCACGTCCTGTCCTACGAGGGTGAGTGGCCGGGCGTCCCGTGCGGGCGGCCGAGGGGCGTCGGTGGGCCGGGCGGGGGCTCTGGCACCCGGATGATGGGGCCCGGGAGGGAAGCCAGTCGTTGGTCACTCGAGTGGAGCCCGCCGCACGCCGGGGCACGGCAGGGGCGGAGGCAGACGGCGTCCCCGCCCTCGGGACGCGCACAGAGGTGTGGCGGGAAGGTGCAACGTTGGCCCCAGCCGGGACACCCGCCCGCCCCGCTCGGCTCACGGGTGCGCGAGGCCACAGGCCCGGCGAGTCTGGAGTTGGTCAAGCGCAGGGCCGACGGTGAGTGGGGCGGGGAGGGTTGGTGCCCTTGGGAGACCGTCGGGGGCGCCCGCCCCTCCCGCGCCCGGGCGGCTGGGAGCTGAGACGGGGGTCCCCATTTTACAGACGAGAGTGGGGCACAGCCACGTCCAGTGGGCCTTCCGTGTGCCCGCTCTCGTGGCCGCGTGAGAGAGAGGAGCAGGCCGGGATCAGGCAGGAGGGTGTTTGGCCCATTGAGGAGGCTTCACGGGGAGGCCGGGCTGGGTGAGGCCAGGAAGCATAGGGGGTGACCTAGCCGTCCCTGCAGGCACGCAAGCCAGCAGCAGGCAACGGTGGGTCTTAGTGACCTCCCACCTCTGCCCAGTTCTTTATAATGTAGGGAACAGCCTCGCTAGGAGCATAGCAGGGAAACTGAGGCCCAGGGTGGAAGCCCAGGTTCACACCACCAGGCCCTCAGCTCCGCACTTCAGACGAAGCCCACACACTCTCCCTGGCCACGGAGGGGTGACGGCGGAGTGACCCTCCCCCTGCCAGGCGCCGGCCCTGGTTCCAGGGAGGAAGGGGTTAAGGGAGTCGGGTGCTGGGAGAGTGGATTTCCTGGCAGCCCCAGCACCCAAGGGTGTGCAGATAAAAGCCGCTAATGGGCGCCCGCTCGGCACTGCCAGCTGTGGCCGAGACCGCCTGTCCTCCGGGGCATCGTCCCTCCCCCGCCGCCCTGTGCCGGGAAGCGGGGTTGGCGCCACGCGGCTGAGCGAGGGACCTTTCTGCCGCGGGGAGGGACCGTCCTGGGGACGGGCCAGCGGGTGTCCCCAGGCTGAGTGCCCTGGGTGTGGCCGGGAGCCGGGAGGGGCTCGGGGCCGGCAGTCGCCGCGTGGTGTCAGAGTCACTGGGTGGACTCGCGCACTGGGGGCCGGGACCAGGGGCCGGGCCGTCAGGGGCTCCGCGTTCCAGTCGGGGCTATACCGCTCCTGCGCTCCGGGGCCGGTGGCCAGCGCGGGCAGCTGGCCAGGCGTGAGGCCACGGGGCATGGCGAGGACCTCGGCCACCACCCCGCCATCCCGCGCACCTGCGCCGGCTGTCGGCCAGACTTGCGGTCTCCACTAGTGTCAGACGTCCCGGCGTGACCACCAGTGTCCACGCGGAGGGTTCAGGACAGCCACACGCACCTGCCAGTGCATGTCCTTCGGGGACCCCGCGATCCGAGGGTCACGGGCGGCAGCACGGAAGCCCGTGGGAGCGTGAGACACCAAGGGCGTGTCCGGGGTCCCCGAGCGTGTTTCTGACGCCCGAGCACTCCGCTGTGGGAGGAGACCCCCCCAGGGGCCGCCCCTGCTGCCCAGCTGCTCTGGGCTCAGGCTGGCCAGGCGAGGCCACCTCTGCCCGGGAGACGCCTCCCGCCCACCCACACGCACCCGCCATGCGTGCTTGCGGGAGGGTGCACGCGTTTGCACACTTGCGTGCACATCAACACAGCTGGGCTCCTGTGACCGCACGTAGGCACACACAAAGCCGCGTACCGCCAGGCATGCCCTCGGGTGTGTGTGTGTGTGTGTGTGTGGACTTGCTCTGTGCTCGGTAGCCAGGTGCACCCACACACGCGTGCACACGCCCACAGTTGTACACGCATGGCCATGCTGACGCACATGCGTTCTCCCGCCTGCCCCAAGCGTCCACACTGTGGATGTGGCTTTGCCCACACACGCATGTCGTGTGTTGGTGCTGCGTGTCAGTGCCCGTGTGTGCACAGATGTGCATGCTCCCCGACAGAGCAGCCCGAGGGCTGGTGGTGGGGTGCGGCGCCCCGGCTCTCCCGCCCTGCGGGGCTCAGCGGCGGTGGCGGGGGTTGCCGTGGCCCCACGCAGAGCCCGCGCCCCTCACCGTGCGCCATGTCTGGTCCCCAGGTGGTGTGTCCGTGGCCCAGTGCGCCAAGGAGGACGGCAGGAGCAGCGCGGGGCCCGCCCACGAGACCGCGGCACCCAAGCGCACCTACGACATGATGGAGGGCCGCGTCGGCAGGGCCGTGTCCTCCGCCAGCATCGAAGGTGGGCGCCCGCGCTGCTCAGCGCCCGTGGGGGGCACTCGGGCCTGGGTTGCAGATGGGGAAACTGAGGCTGGGCTTCCCAGGCCCCATCCGGAGGCGGGTCGTGTCCCGCCTGCCCGGGGTCTGCTGGGCCTGACGCACCCGCCCTCTCCCCAGGTCTCATGGGCCGCGCCATCCCGCCCGAGCGGCACAGCCCGCACCACCTCAAGGAGCAGCACCACATCCGCGGCTCCATCACGCAAGGTGTGCCCGCCCCGCGGCCTGGCACTCCCACGTGGGCGCCAGTCGAGCCAGGCCAGGCGGGGCAGTTGGGGGTGCACGGAACCCCAGGACACTCCCACGTGGGCGCCAGTCGAGCCAGGGCGGCGGTGGGGGGGACACGCCAGGGGGGTGGGCACGGAATCCCAGGACACTCCCACGTGGGCGCCAGTCGAGCCAGGCAGGGCAGTTGGGGTGGGGACATGCCGGGTGGGGCACGGAATCCCAGGACACTCCCACGTGGGCGCCAGTCGAGCCAGGCGGGGCGGTTGGGGGGGACATGCCAGGGGGTGGGCACAGAACCCCAGGACACTCCCACGTGGGCGCCAGTCGAGCCAGGCGGGGCGGTTGGGGGGGGGAAATGCCAGGGGGGGTGGGCACGGAACCCCCAGGACACTCCCACGTGGGCGCCAGTCGAGCCAGGCAGGGTGGGGGGGACCCCAGGACACGGACACAGAAAGGCATGTGGCACGTGTGTGCGTGGCGACGTGGGTTTCAGAGCCGGGGTCCCTGCTCACTTGCAAACGAACAGGAAAAGCAAAGCCCCGCCTGTGGCCCTCGGGGCCGTCCGCGGAGCGAGCGCTGTAGCTGCGTGCTTGGCGCCGGCCCAGGTGCCGCGTGCGTTCTGTCCCGGGGACACAGCTGGCGGGAGGCCCAGGTCTTGTGTTTCTCGTCTGCGTTGTTCCTAGGCGGTTCGCGACTCCACAGCGGTTTCAGTTCGTGCTCTCGTTTAGTATGCAGGGGCGCTGAGGCTCAGAGAGGTCAAGGCACAGGCTCAGAGTCACACAGCAAGCGAGGGTCTGAGCTCAGTCCAGCTCGGACACCCGCTGGCGTGGAGGCCCTGGCTCGGCAGGGGGGCCCCGAGGCTCACCGCCGTGCCCCCCCCCAGGGATCCCGCGGTCCTACGTGGAGGCCCAGGAGGACTACCTGCGCCGGGAGGCCAAGCTGCTGAAGCGGGAGGGCACGCCCCCGCCCCCGCCCCCGCGGGAGCTGGCCGAGGCCTACAAGGCGCTGGGCCCGCTGAAGCTGAAGCCGGCCCACGAGGGGCTGGTGGCCACGGTGAAGGAGGCGGGCCGCTCCATCCACGAGATCCCGCGCGAGGAGCTGCGCCGCACGCCTGAGCTGCCCCTGGCGCCGCGGCCGCTCAAGGAGGGCTCCATCACCCAGGTACGGCCGGCGGGCGGGCGCGGGCCACGGCCTCATCCAGCTGCACTCGGGGCCCTGTCAGGTTTGTGCCTGTGGTTCCCATTCTTCACGTAGGGAAACCGAGGCCCAGAGAGGCCTGGGTTTGGGCAGCTTGGCTGGGGCCACAGAAGGAAACGTGGCGATAAATAAGCCGGGCCGGGTGCTGCCGCGGACGCTGCGGAGTGGCTTGTTTGGCCTCTCGGAGATGCTCTGAGGGGGTCTTGTCCTGGCCCCATTTTATTGGCCGGTAAACTGGGGTTCAGAGAGGTTAAGTGACTTGCTCAGAGCCACGCAGCAGCAAGTAAATGGCAGCTTTGAAGCCCAGATCCGATATCCCTGAATCTGCAACCCCGTTGCCTTGGCGTCCACCTCTCCCGTTGGCAGACCCCCTCCCAGGCGCGCCGGCCTGGGGGGCTGGGGGAGGGGAGGTCCGCACCGTGGTGCACGGGGCTGGGCAGGGGACGGCCCCGAGGGCCGCTGTCCCTTCGCGGGGGCAGAGGTGACCGCCCGAGAGGGAGGAGGGGGAGCCCAGGGCGGCGCGGTGCGCCTGGGGTCCGGCCACGGCTGCAGCTCCCCCTCTGCCGCAGGGCACCCCGCTCAAGTTCGACGCCGGGGCGGCCCCCGCGGGCGCCAAGAAGCACGACGTGCGCTCCATCATCGGCAGCCCCGGCCGCGCCTTCCCCGCGGCGCACCCGCTGGAGGTGCTGGCTGACGCCCGGGCGCTGGAGCGCGCCTGCTACGAGGAGACGCTGAAGGGCCGGCCGGGGGCCGCTGGCGCTGCGGGGGGCGCCATCGCACGCGGGGCCCCAGTCATCGTGCCCGAGCTGGGCAAGCCGCGCCAGAGCCCCCTGGCCTACGAGGACCATGCGGCGCCCTTCGCCGGCCACCTGCCCCGCGGCTCGCCCGTGACCACGCGGGAGCCCACACCGCGCCTGCAGGAGGGTGAGTGGCGCCCGCTCGGCGGCACCCCAAAACCCGCGGGCCCTGCCTCCAGCATGGGGCTCGCCCCCAACGTCCCCACACCCCCGACTCCACACCCGGCACCCCCACCCGGCCCGACGGTTCTCGCACCCCCGACTCCGCCCCCAACGTCCTCGCACCCCCGACTCCACCCCCGGCACCCCCCTGCACCTCCCGACTCGCCCCGGCGCCCCACCTCCTACACCCGAAGTCCTCGCACCCCCGCTTCCCACCGGCGTCCCCGCAGCCCAGACTCACATCCGGCTCCCCCCCGCACACCCGACTCCCGACCCGCGCCCCCCCCTCCACCCCCCAGACTCCGCACCCGGCGCCCCCACCCCCACCTCGCCCACACCTCCACCCCCGCTCTAATCCGCTCTGACCCTTCCGCCCAGCGGAGTCCCGTCACGCCCTTCCCCGCTCCGTCCTCCCGGCGGTAATGCGTGCTGAAAAGCCACGCAGCGGAAGGGAGAGTCAGTGACGGAGGAACGAACTAAGAGGCAAATTGAGGGAATGAACGAAGCGAATGAGTGAATGAGGAGCCCTGGTGCGTGGGGCCGTGCGGCCCTCCCGCAGACGGCCCGGGAAGCTGGCGGGTCGGAGGCCTGACGCCGTGCCCGGCCCGTCCCCACAGGCAGCCTCGCGTCCAGCAAGGCGTCCCAGGACCGGAAGCTGACATCCACGCCCCGGGAGGTCGCCAAGTCCCCGCACAGCGCCATGCCCGAGCACCACCCGCACCCCATCTCGCCCTACGAGCACCTGCTGCGGGGCGTGAGCGGCGTGGACCTGTACCGCGGCCACATCCCGCTGGCCTTCGACCCCACCTCCATTCCCCGCGGGATCCCGCTGGACGCAGGTGAGCGCCCTGGGCCCGCAGAGCTCTCCGCAGCGATCCGGGAAGTCACACGGGGGTCGGGGACCTCGTCGGGACCCGCCCACGGACGAGCAGGCGTCCACAGCGGGCGCCCCTGGACAGGGAAACGCAGGCCTGGAGACGGGGGACCCATCGATGCTGTCGTGACCGGTTTACGTTAGCGCAGAGCTTCTCTTAGCATTTTGAGGGACAGGCTGGGTTTTAAATATTTTCAGTGGATTTCTTTTTCTGCGGGACTTATCAGCGCTTTTAAAATCTCGAATCTGTCAAACGAGGTCTTGAGTGTGTGCGTTTCCCCAATGGACGTGATCTGAAAAGCTTCCTTGTACAAGGCTGTGTCCCCCAGGTGCGTCAGCACCCTGCGCTCAGGTGCCCTGTGTCTAGGAGCAGACTTCCCTGCCGCGGGGCCCTCCATTCTGATTTGCGGGCAGTGCTCTGGGGGGAGCACGTGTGCAGGGGAGGTCGTGGGGGGCAGACGTGGGGGCCACGGCCGGCCTCACGCCCGCCCCTCCCCCGCAGCTGCTGCCTATTACCTGCCGCGGCACCTGGCGCCCAACCCCACCTACCCGCACCTGTACCCGCCGTACCTCATCCGCGGCTACCCCGACACGGCGGCGCTGGAGAACCGGCAGACCATCATCAACGACTACATCACCTCGCAGCAGATGCACCACAACGCCGCCACCGCCATGGCCCAGCGCGCCGACATGCTGCGGGGCCTGTCGCCCCGCGAGTCCGCGCTGGCGCTCAACTACGCCGCCGGCCCTCGAGGTGGGTGGGCGCGCGGGGGCTGGGCCCTGTTCCCCGAGGACGCGCGCCCCGGAGCCCTCGCTGGGGTGGCTGGAGCCGGGGACCTCGCGGCTTTGCGTGAGCGCCCCGAGAGCACGCACAGACCTGCGTGTGGGGTCGTGCGCGCCGTGCGTGTGAAGTCGTGCGTGCACGTGGGCGCGTGCGGGTGCTGCCCGGCGCCTGGCAGCACGTAGCGGTGTGCAGGCGCCTGGGCGTGCTCTTGGGGTGCAGCGAACTTGGGGGTTTAAAAAAAAGATCAGAACGTGAGGCCGTCTGAGCTCCGGGTGGTTTGCCCCGTAAGCAGGTTGGGGCTGCTCTGCGTGTGCGTGTTCAGGGGACATCCCCCAGGACCCTTCCTCCCGGACGTCCTCCTGACGCGGCCGGGTCTGAGTCAGGGCCGGGTGGAAGAGCCAGAGTCACGCTAGAGTCACGCTAGAGTCGCGCTTGCGGGCCGCGAGCACTAAGCACAGGGCTGGGTCCATAGGGATCAGAGGCTCAAGGGCAGAGGGCCCGCGAAGGGGACAGGGAGCCAGCTGCAGGCACGGCCCCTCGGGCCGGGGGGCAGCAGGGAGGTGGGACCGAGAGGGCAGGCGCGTTCGGAAAGGGTCCTGGGCGCCGCGGGTCCTGCCTGGCCCGTCCTCCCCGCGGCTCACCCTGCGCCGCCCCGCCCCTCCCCCGCAGGCATCATCGACCTGTCCCAAGTGCCACACCTGCCCGTGCTGGTGCCGCCCACGCCGGGCACGCCGGCCACCGCCATGGACCGCCTCGCCTACCTCCCCACCGCGCCCCAGCCCTTCAGCAGCCGCCCCAGCAGCTCCCCGCTGTCCCCAGGTAGCGCGGCAGGCGGCGGGGGTGGGGGGGAGCGTGGGCAGGCGGAGGGGAGGCCCGAGGAGGAGGCCGGTCCCTCCCCGCCCCGGGCCTGACCGAGTCCCGCCCCGGGTTTCCCAGGAGGCCCCTCGCACCTGGCAAAGCCGACGCCCGCGTCCGAGCGTGAGCGCGAGCGGGAGAAGTCCATCCTCACGCCCACCGCCACGGTGGAGCACGCGCCCATCTGGAGACCCGGTAGGACGTCGGGGGCCCCGCCCCGGGTCCTGGCGGCGCGTGAGGCCCGCCCCCCTGATGGCAGCCTGTTCTCAGGAACCGAGCCCAGCGGCGGGGGAGGGGGCAGTGGCCGCCCCGCCGCCCACGCGCACCAGCACTCGCCCGTGTCCCCCCGGACCCAGGACGCGCTCCAGCAGCGGCCCAGCGTGCTGCACAACGCGGGCCTCAAGGGCGTCGTCACCTCTGTGGAGCCCGGCACGCCCACGGTGCTGAGGTGGGCCAGGTTGGCACGCCGGCGAGGGCAGGCGGGCGGGGGGTGGCGGGCTCACAAGCGAGAATCGTGGCCCGCCCGCGTGGACGGCAGGCCGTGGTCAGGTCAGAGGGACGGTAGCTGAGTGGGTGGGCAGGCGGGTGGATGGATGATGGGTGCGAGGGTGGGTGGCCAGGTTAGGTGGTGAGTGGATAGGTGGTGTATGCTGGGGGTGGGTAGGTGTTTGGGTGTTGGGGTAGGCAGGTAGGTAGATGGGTGTTGGGGTGGGTGGGGGTTGGGTCGACAGGTTAGGCAGGTAGGTGGATGGGTGGGTGGGTGGGGGTTGGGTCGACAGGTTAGGCAGGTAGGTGGATGGGTGATGGACTAGGTAGTTGGGTTGATGGTATTGGGCTGATGAGTTAGGCAGGTAGGTCGGTGGGTGTCGGGTTAGACGGGAGGGGGATGGGTGGTGTGAGTGGGGATGGGAGCCGCTCTGGAGGCCCAGGTACAGGCGCAGGCCGGCATTTGGAGGATGAGTGGGCGGGAGGTGGCTTGGGGGGGACAGACTGACCGAGTGCCAGTAGGGGAGACTCTCTGGGTCCTCCCGACACCTAGCCAGGCTTGTGGGAAGAGGGTGGGTCCCTCCTGCCCGGGCAAAGTCCTGAGGTTCACTGAGGTAGGGTGACGCACCCCGAGGGCCGTGGGCAGAGCCGCTTCACGGGGGACGGGGGCTTCCCCAGGACCCCTCCCTGCCCTGGGACCCGTTTGTACGCATCTTACTCTCCCAAAGCGAAGTTTCCATCCGTAAGAGGATCCACGCCCCGTTTGCCTGCCGCAGATCACACCCCGTCACGACTCCAACTGCAAAAGCGCCGTTGTTCCCCGAAAGAGTGGGCTTCCTCCCCCGACTGTGCCCCCGCTGGTTGGCGCGGGGCTGCCAGGCACTGGCGCGTGTGCGGGAACCCGTGGTTCCTCCACGCCTGCGGCGGCCGGTCGGGAAACACAATGGAGAAAACAAGCCCCTCCCGCTGGCCATGCTGGGGACGTCCCCGCGGGGGCAGGGCTGTAACTGCCCGCTGCTGCGCCTGCAGCTCCTGTGTGCCACTCCCCGCACCCCCAGGGACCCTTTGAGCACCCCGCCTGGGTGTGCTTGTCCTTCCCTCCCCAGGCCCCACTCGCTGCTTTGGAGCGGTTGCCGCTCTGGCGGGGGTCTGACGTGCGTGGTGCATTTGTACGTAGTCTGCCTTCTCAGCTAGACGGTGAGACCTGCCCGCTTCTGCATTCCCAGACTCCAGAACGGAGCCCGGCACCCGTTAGGTGCTCCAGAGAAAATCTTGCAGTGATGCAATGAATGAATGAATGAGTGGGTGGGTGGGGAAGCCATGCCACGCAGTCTCCTGCGGATCACGGTGTCGGGAGGGCTGCAGTGCCCTGGGAGCAGGAGGGAGTCGGGGGTTACCCTAGGGCCGTGGGGACTCGCAGAGGGTGATGGAGTGGCCCCGCCGCTGCCTGAGCCCCGTCTCTGCCCCCAGGTCCACCTCCACCTCCTCGCCCGTCCGCCCGGCCGCCACCTTCCCGCCCGCCACCCACTGCCCGCTGGGCAGCACGCTGGACGGGGTCTACCCCACGCTCATGGAGCCCGTCTTGCTGCCCAAGGACGCCTCCCGCGTCTCCCGGCCCGAGCGGACCCGCGGGGACGCCGGCCACGCCTTCCTTGCCAAGCCCCCCGCCCGCTCCGGGCTGGAGCCCGCCTCCTCCCCCAGCAAGGGCTGTGAACCCCGGCCCCTCGCGCCCCCCGGCTCCGGCCACTCGGCCATCGCCCGCGCCCCGGCCAAGAGCCTCGCGCCGCGCCACGCCAGCCCGGACCAGCCAGCGCTGCCCGCCTCGGCTTCCGACCCGCAGCGGGAAAAGACTCAGAGTAAACCCTTTTCCACCCCGGAGCTGGAGCTCCGGTCTCTGGGTAAGACCACCCTGACGGCAGCCGCCTTCATAGACGCGGTAATCACGCGTCAAATCGCTCGCGGTAACGGGGCGCGAGAAGGCGGCTCGCCGGCCAGCGGCTCCCCTCGAGATGGTAAGACCCCCGGCCCGCCGCCCGCCCCGTCTGCGGCCCAAAGACATTTCCAGATCTCTGCTTTTTACTTTTCCCCGTCTTTTTTTTTGTTTTTTTTGTTGTTTTTTTTTTGTCGTTTTGGTGTTTCGTTTGGAAGCCGCCTCCGCCGATTTGCACACCCTGACGGCCCTCCCAGCGCCACCACGCCCGGACGGCGGCTCGTCCTTTGCACATCGTTGGTCACGATTTTCTTTTTCTTTTTTCCCTTTTTTTTTTTGTGTGTGTGTTTTTGGATTTTCGCTTTTTTTCCTTTAATGAGTGGATCTGTGACCTTGGCCTGGACTGCATCTCCTCTCTGTGCCTGCATTCGGGGAGCCGGGGCGGGGCTGCGGAGGGCTCGGCTGCCTGCGTCTGCCAGCTGGGGAGCAGGGACGGTCTCCGTGGAGAGAGGCCCTGCAGGGGGGCCCAACTGGCATCCGCCCTCTCTCTGGGGAGTCTGGGGGTGCCCAGCCCCATGTGCCCCGGGAGTCCTCATGTCTACCCCCCACAGGGCCCCAGCTCCTCGGTGTGGAACCAGGGACCGCGAGGCGTGGCCCAGGCCGGGCCCCTGGGACCTCGCCGCCCCGCCCCACCCCCCACCTTGCCCAGAAACGCCCCTGCTCAGCCCCACGGCTGAGTCTGTCCCTGTCTGTCCCTTTTCCATCGGGCTTTTGGCATCTGTCTGTCTCTGCGCCCAGCTCTGTCTGGGGCCCAGACCCGGCCCCCAGCTCGGGTTGATCCGATCCCGTGGGGCCCCGGGCGGGGTGGCGGGTGGCTTTGCCCCTAGGACCAAGGTCCTGCGGGCCTGATCCAGCCCCACCCATTGCAGGTTACCATGGCAGCAGCTACAGCCCCGACGGGGTGGAGCCCGTCAGCCCCGTGAGCTCGCCCAGCCTCAGCCACGACAGGGGGCTGCCCAAGCACCTGGAGGAGCTGGACAAGGGCCACCCCGAAGCGGAGCTGCGGCCCAAGCAGCCAGGTACCGCCCCGCCTGCCCAGCACTGTCCTGCCATGCAGACGGGGAAACCGAGGCACTGAGGGCTCAGGGGTCGGCCCCGGCCCTTGGCTCGGAGGGCCAGAGCCGGGACGTGAGGACGGCAGCCCCGGCCGGTAGACGCCTGTCGCCCAGCCCACCGCGCTGACCGGCTCGCTCTGCCCCCAGGCGCCGTGAAGCTGGGCAGCGAGGCCACGCACCTCCCCACCCTGCGGCCACTGCCCGAGAGCCAGCCCGCGTCCAGCCCGCTGCTGCAGACCGCCCCGGGGGTCAAAGGTCACCAGCGGGTGGTCACCCTGGCACAGCACATCAGTGTAACTACCCGCTCTCTGCCCCTCCTCGTCATGGGCCCGGGAGGGGAGGGGTCCCGCAGAGCTCCTCCGTCCTGGCTGGGTGGGTGCGATCGCCCTGCTGGTGGGCCGGGGGCACCTGTGAGCCACACCCGCAAGGGCGCCGGGCTGTCATGTGTCTAGGAGTCTTTAAAGTAACCCGGCCGGTTGTGTCCTGCTCACCGGGGGCTCCGGCCCCACCCCCACGCACAGGGCCAGTGAGGCCCAGCGGGCAGGTCCAGAGTCGCTCGGGAAGCCCAGAACAGAGCCGGGTTCTGCCCCAAAGCCCAGCCCAGCCCCCGCCCCACCCAGAAGGCTCTGGCAGGGTGGCTGCCACCTGACCCCACGCCTCTCCCGGCGCGCCTTGGCCCGCAGGAGGTCATCACACAAGACTACACGCGGCACCACCCGCAGCAGCTGCCCCCGCACGGCCCCGCGCCCCTCTACTCCTTCCCCGGGGCCAGCTGCCCCGTCCTGGACCTGCGCCGCCCGCCCAGCGAGCTCTACCTCCCGCCCCCGGCCCGCGGCTCCCCCCACAGCGAAGCGGGCAAGAGGTGAGCGGGCGGGCGTCTCTCGCTGCTGGGCCTGGGGGGTGTGGGCACACACCTGCCTCGCACTGCGGGCCGGGCTGGAGCCACTGCACAGATGAGAAACTGAGGCTCGGAGGTTGCGGGCAGCTTGCCCAAGTCATGCTCGGAGCGTGGCGGGCGCCCAGGTGAACACCTACATGTGTGAGCTCGCTGGACTCACAGCCACCCAGGCGGGGGCAGCACTGCCCCTGTTTCGCAGATGGAGACACTGAGGCTGGAGAAGGGCGGTCACCCGCCTGCAGGGACGCAGGCAGTCAGTGGCAGAGCCGGGATTCGAGCTCGAGCTGTGTGGTGTGGAGAGCAGGCTTTCAATACTGCACACGTGTGCACCTACACCTGCACCCACTGCACCCGCACATGTACACGCGTGCACCCACACATGCACCTGCTGCACCTGCACATGTATATGTGTGCACACACACCTGCACCCGCACATGTACATGCGTGCATCCACACATGCACCTGTTGCACCCACATCTGCACACTCTGTACCCACACCTGCACCCACTGCACCCGCACATATACACGCGTACACCCACACATGCACCTGCTGCACCCACACATGCACCTGCTGCACCCGCACCTGCACACGCTGCACCCACATGTGCACACTCCCACCGTGGTCAACCCCAGGGCTGCAGGGTCAGGAGAGGAGGCGGGCGGGAGGGCCCTGAGCTCGGGGGTGGATGCTGCTTTCCTGGGGACCACGCGTGAGGTGGATGTGGGGAGACAGCAGGCTGGCCTTGGGGCACAGGCACCTGGCATGGGGGTTTGACCAGAGAGGGGGTCAACGAACCACCAGTTTTGGTGCAGTTCACGAGCTAAAGGTGACTTTCCATTTTTAAAGGGGTCGTAGAAAGAGCAAGAACGTGTGGTGGAGGCCACGTGTGGTCTTGAACGTTTACAATTTGTCCCCGGACGGGGAAGCCGGGCTGGGTGGCGGGGGTGGGGGTCTCCCTGGGAGGGGCCTCTGACCGCAGCTGGGACCCTCTCTCTGGCCAGGTCTCCAGAGCCCAGCAAGACGTCGGTCCTGGCTGGGGGCGAGGATGGCATCGAACCTGTGTCCCCGCCAGAGGGCTTGGCAGAGCCGGGCCACCCCCGGAGTGCCGTGTACCCGCTGCTGTACCGGGACGGGGAGCCGGCAGAGCCCAGGTACTTGGCTGGCGCCCGCGCCCCACCCCTGGGGTGCTCTGGGCTGGGCCCACCGCCATGCCGTGTGGACGGTGACCAGGGCAGTGGGCTCGGCAGGGCGGTCTCAGTCCTGCTAAGCAAATTCACAAACTTGGGGTGAGGGATGCACCCCTGCCCTCACCGGGGGACACCGCCATGGCAGCTTTCTGTGCTCCTGTCCTGGTACCTGTTGAAGATCTGAGAAATGATGAGTGAAACGTGGGACCTAACTGGGGGCGGGGCTGAGGTGGGGGCAGGGGAAGAGGCCTGGCCGCTGGCCCTGGGAGGGGCAGGATCCGAACCCACGTTCAGTTCCTGAGGCTCTTTCAGAGGGTGGGGCTGGAGCAGGTGCTTAGGGGTGGCCACCACAGCGGGGGGCTCTCGAGACCCCCCTGCGTCCAGGATCGGTGACGATTTCAGGAGGTGTGGCTGCCTGCCAGGTGGGACAGGCGGGCAGGGGTGGGGGGAGCTGGCTGGGGGGTGAGCTCCCTGTCGTCCGAGGCATGCAAGTGCATCACTGCGCGGGCTGACCCAGGGCCTACTCCTCGCGGCAGGATGGGCTCCAAGTCTCCAGGCAACACCGGCCAGCCGCCAGCCTTCTTCAGCAAGCTGACGGAGAGTAACTCCGCCATGGTCAAGTCCAAGAAGCAGGAGATCAACAAGAAACTGAACACCCACAACCGGAACGAGCCGGAATACAGTAAGAGGCCATGCACCCCGGGGGTGGGGCACAGGGCTGCCTGTGGCAGGGCCTCCGGCAGCAGGGCACCGGCCCTGGCTCTGGCCCTCCACTCCACGTGCATGGAGCCCTGGGACTCTCTCGATCAGCTTGTCTTTCTGGGGTAGAGCGTGGCGCCCGGAATAGCACCCAGTACACAGTAGGCGCCTGGTGAATGCGGGGCACCAGGGGCCAGGTCACCTGTCAGCAGCACGCGCTACCTGCGCGGTTTCGCCCGTGTGCACAGTTGCTGGGCGTGGACACCCGGCCTCGCTTGCCTGTCCTGAGCGTGGTGCCCCGCGCAGCTGGGGGTGGGGGGCGCGAGTGGGCGAGGAATCCAGGCGGATCATGGGCGCCTCCCCTCTGGGAGACCTCGCGGGGTCACTGGGCCGGCCAACACGGCTCCCGGGTGGCGTTGGGGACAGGCGGTCTCCCAGGACCCCGGGCCTGTGAGCCTCACGCACCCCGTCACCCCTCGCAGATGTCGGCCAGCCCGGAACGGAGATCTTCAACATGCCGGCCATCACCGGAGCAGGTAACGCTCGGGCCCTCCTCCTGCCCCGCCCCCGCCCCGCCCCGCCGTTTCCGGGGACAAAGAGCCTTTCCTGGTTCGAGTCTGGTCTCCACTAACCCTGCGGCAGGATCAGAGTCAGGCGGCGGACAGGTCCCTGCAGGAGGGGCCCTCGCTGGGCCAGGAGTCTCGGGGGTCACGGTCCCTCGTGCAGCAGGTGAATGCGCCCCCCCCTCGCCCCCGCCTGGAAACGCACCTTGCGTGCGCTGGGCTCAGACGGAGGCGCGGGGTCTGGGCTCAGGCACGGAGCTCGGCCCGCCTGGGCGCGTTCCAGCCGCAGCTTCCGTTTGACCGAGAGCTCCCTCCCGGGAGCTGGGGGCCTTTCCCGCCGCCCCACGCCAGGTGCAGATGGCGGCAGAGACGGCGTGAACTCGCACACACTTTGAGGCTGGAACGTGCGACGCACGTGATGTTTGGGGTTCAGGGGACGCTCGGGTGGACCCCATCCCCTCGGAGGGGCCGCATATTCCCGCCGCCACTGTCGCAGTGGGGTTTGGAGAAGCGCCTGGGCGAGTCTGGGCTGAGGTAGCCAGTCCCAGCGCAGACCCGGGGCGCTGCCGCGAGCCTCGGCCTGGCCGGGCGAGGAACCGGGGCCCAAGGGTCTCTTGCCTGCACTCGGTCACTCTGCGCCTGCGCTCGGTCACTCTGCGCTCGGTCACTCGTGCCTGCACTCAGTCACTCTGCGCTCGGTCACTCTCTGCGCTCGGTCACTCGTGCCTGCACTCAGTCACTCTGCGCTCGGTCACTCTCTGCGCTCGGTCACTTGTGCCTGCACTCGGTCACTCTGCGCTCGGTCACTCGTGCCTGCACTCAGTCACTCTGCGCTCGGTCACTCTCTGCACTCGGTCACTCGTGCCTGCACTCAGTCACTCTGCGCTCGGTCACTCGTGCCTGCACTCAGTCACTCTGCGCTCGGTCACTCGTGCCTGTGCTCGGTCACTTGTGCCTGCACTCAGTCACTCTGCGCTCGGTCACTCGTGCCTGCACTCAGTCACTCTGCGCTCGGTCACTCTGCGCCTGTGCTCGGTCACTCTCTGCGCTGAGTGACTGCGCTCGGTCACTCTCTGTCTGCGCTGGGTGACTCTGCGCTCGGTCACTCTCTATCTGCACTGGGTGACTCTGCGCTCGGTCACTCTGCGCTGGGTGACTGCGCTCGGTCACTCTCTCTATGCTGGGTGACTGCACTCGGTCACTCTTTCTCTGCGCTGGGTGACTCTGCACTCAGTCACTCTCTGCGCTCGGTCACTCTCTGCGCTGAGTGACTGCACTCGGTCACTCTCTGCGCTGGGTGACTCTGCACTCAGTCACTCTCTGTGCTCGGTCACTCTCTGCTCTTGGTCACTCTCTCTGCAGTCAGTCACTCTCTGTGCTTGGTCACTCTCTCTCTGCGCTCGGTCACTCTCTGTGCTTGATCACTCTCTCTCTGCGCTCGATCACTCTGCTCTTGGTCACTCTCTCTGCACTCGGTCACTCTCTGCGCTTGATCACTCTCTCTCTGCGCTCGGTCACTCTCTGTGCTTGATCACTCTCTCTCTGCGCTCGATCACTCTGCTCTTGGTCACTCTCTGCGCTCGGTCACTTTCTGCGCTCACTCTCTGCTCTTGGTCACTCTCTCTCTGTGCTCAGTCACTCTCTATGCTGGGTGACTGCGCTCAGTCACTCTCTGCGCTCAGTCACTCTCTGCGCTCGGTCACTCTCTGCTCTTGGTCACTCTCTCTCTGCGCTCGGTCACTCTCTGCTCTTGGTCACTCTCTCTCTGCGCTCGGTTACTCTCTAGTCCTTCAGGGCGGCCGGAGGTCGGAGGGCGAGGGGAGGTGTGCCGACCTTCCCGGGGGATGTTCGGGGGCCTCGAGCCCTGGGACTGTGGAGCACAGAGGACGGTCACCTGGGTGCCACCAAGGAATCGGGGACCCACCGGCGGTCCCGGCGAGGGCGCCCCGTCTGCCCAGAGACCAGACACTGGGGGCTTCGCGGAGCCTCTGGCGATGGGAAGGGGCGACTCGGTCACAACGAGGTTAGAAATGAGCGTTTCCAGAATGATCCGAGTCTGACGCAGGTGCTAGACACACCGGTGTCTGTGTGTGTTGACGTTCGCGGAGTGACACGGTCACGGTTTGTGCTAACGCTTATATGTCAGTCGCATCTGATTTTTTCTTTTTTAAAGCAGTTTAGTCCACACACACAAAACCCCAAATTCCCAAGCCCCGGCCTTTGCTGCTTAGCCTGTGTCAGACCTCGCCCTCATACGTGGAGATGGTCACGTCTGGGCCAGCCCCCCCCACCGGGTCGCGGACTCCTGACTGTGGGAAGGGCCGGGAGTGCTGCCGTGAGCTCGGCACTCACCCTGCTGGGGACCTCGCTTCTCCCTGACCCTGACGAGTGCGGCTAGGGCTTTTTAAGGGTTGGTGACATGCGGCCGAGACACCGCGAGGAAGGTGTGCTCGACTTGCCACGAAGGCGTTTGGAACCAAAAGGAAGAAAAGAAAGGCGGGCCTGGCGCGGTGGCTCACGCCTGTAATCCTAGCACTGCGGGAGGCCGAGGCTGGAGGATTGCTCAAGGTCAGGAGTTCAAAACCAGCCTGAGCAAGAGCGAGACCCCGTCTCTACTAAAAATAGAAAAAAACTAATTGACCAACTACTACATATACAAAAAATTAGCCGGGCATGGTGGCGCATGCCTGTAGTCCAGCTACTCGGGAGGCTGAGGCAGGAGGATCGCTTGAGCCCAGGAGTTGGAGGTTGCTGTGAGCTAGGCTGACACCACGGCACTCACTCTAGCCCGGGCCACAGAGTGAGACTCCGTCTCAAAAAAAAAACCAAAAAGAAAAAGAAGGCCAGGCGTGGTGGCTCACGCCTGTAACCCTAGCACTGTGGGAGACCGAGGTGGGCGGATCAGGCAAGGTCAGGAGTTCGAAACCAGCCTGAGCAAGAGCGAGACCCCGTCTCTACTATAAATAGAAAGAAATTAATTGACCAACTAATATACATAGAATAAATCAGCTGGGCATGGTGGCACATGCCTGTAGTCCCAGCTACTCGGGAGGCTGAGGCAGGAGGCTCGCTTGAGCCCAGGAGTTTGAGGTTGCTGTGAGCTAGGCTGACGCCATGGCACTCACTCTAGCCTGGGCAACAAAGCGAGACTCTGTCTAAAAAAAAAGAAAAAAGAGAGGCAAGGCCGGGCGCCAGTCGCCACAGAAACGCGGTTTTTGGAGTGGCTTGTCAGTGCCAGCCCGCGTTGGTTCAGGTTCCAAACGCAAGGTCAGGACGAGGCCGCTTTGCGTCCCTCGCCTCCCTGGGCGCGGAAGCTTTCGGACGTGGGAGTCTCGCCGGGCTGGGTGGGTGGAATCCCCGGGAGGCTGTGACGGCGAAGTCCCGTGTGGCCGGAGTGGCGGAAGGACGCAGGCCGGGCGGGTGGGTTTGCGGGGCCGGCGTGGTTCTTGGGGGGACGCCTGGCACACAGGACGGGGGCTTCCAGGACGGCGCGGTGGGAGTCCAGAGGCCCCCGCTCAGGGCCCGTGGGTCGGTTCGGCCGCTTGGTCCTGGTGGCGGGGCCGGGCCAGGGGGTCACGGGATCGCCTCCCCTCCACCCTGTCCCCGCACGCACGCACGTAACTGCATGGCTACGACCCCCTCCCGCCCGTCTCTGCTCCTCTCCTCCTGGCTCCCGGGTGGGCCCGTCCCTCTCTGGGCCTCCCCGGCCCTGCCAGCCCCTGGCTCTGGCTCGCCCGGTTTCTCAGCAGCCCCTCCCGACCAGGGCCGCCCTCTGCTCCCCCCACCCCCGTCCCGCTCCTCAGGGCGCCCGGAGTTCATAAAACAAAAACAGACAGACCTCCCGGCTGGGGTTGGGGGTGCCGAGGGGACTTCTGCTGTCCCGGAGGACAGAGTAGGAAGGAGGCCGTCCTCGCGCCTCCCTGAGCGCCCCCCCCCACAGCGCCCGAGAGCCGCTGGGCCCCACCTCCCCGCCCACCAGCACCCGGGGCGGGAGGGACCGGGACGTGAACGTGTTGCTTTGCCGAAATGTGCTCACTGTGTATTTCTCTCTCCTCCTCCGTGTTCCCCTCTCTCCGTGTCTCCCCCTTTCTCCGTCTCTCTCCCCCTCTCCCCCCTCTCCGTGTCTCCCCCTCCTCCGTGTTTCCCCCCTCCGTGTCTCTCCCTCTTTCTGTGTCTCTCTCCCTCTCCATGTCTCCCCCCCCATCTCCCCCCTCTCCGTGGCCCGGCTCCCGCCCCGCCCCGTGTGTGTCTCTCTCCCAGGCCTCATGACCTGTAGGAGCCAGGCGGTGCAGGAGCATGCCAGCACCAACATGGGGCTGGAGGCCATTATTAGAAAGGCACTCATGGGTAAATATGACCACTGGGAAGAGCCCCCGCCGCTCAGCGCCCATGCTTTTAACCCTCTGACTGCCAGTGCCAGCCTGCCCGCTGCTATGCCCATAACCGCTGCTGACGGACGGAGCGACCACGCGCTCACCTCGCCAGGTCTGCAGGCCCCCGCCCCGTCCGCCCCTCCCGGTGTCATTAACCCCTCCTGCGCCGCGTGCCTCTGACCGCCCCCTCGAGCTTTGGAGCTTGTGACTTGGTTTCCGTGCCTGTCTGACCTCGTGCTGGGGCTGGCTAACCCGAAGCTGGGCTGGCACCCCAAGGGTCCGCACCCCCGCCCGGCCCCCGCCCACCAGGCTAAGCTGCGCTGCCTCCCGGTGAGAGCTCGCCGCCACCGCCTGCCCCCCGCGGGGCCGGCCCCGTGTCTCCGGGGAGGGACCCCCACGCAACGTGGACGGGCACGGCACGGTGGCCAGGCCTGGGCTCTGCACCTGGGGGCCCTTCGCGGGTGTCCACAGCTGGTCCTCGGGCCTGGGGGAGGAACCCGCGTCTGTCGCCCCACGAGTCAGGAGCCGGAGGGCCAGTCTGCACCCCCGCCTCAGAGCGGGGCCGGGCAAAGCGGTCTCAAGGCCCAGGTGTCCAGTGGGGACGCTGGCGCCATGAACACATTTCTGGGCTGTCCATGGGGCCAGGCACGGGCTTGGGGGTCCTGGCTCGTCCGCACGACCTGCGGGTTTCACGCTCGGGGCCGCAGCCCCTGGGGGTCTGGGGGCCGCCTGAGGGCGTGTTGCAGACGGCTGGCCCTCCCCTGGCCCAGGAGGAGCTGGGCTCTGGCTCCGGCTGGCTCTGGCGTTGGGTCGGGCCCTGGCTTCCCGGCCAGGCAGGCGGGTTCACGCCCCCTTGTGGGGCCCCTGGCAGGACCCCTCCCTCCCCCACCCGCCTTTGCCACCCCCGCAGGCCGGCGCCTCCTCGGGGTCCAACACCGCCCTTCCCACCTTGTCCCTGCAGGCAGCGGCGGGAAGACCAAGGTCTCCGGCAGACCCAGCAGCCGGAAAGCCAAGTCCCCGGCCCCGGGCCTGGCGTCGGGGGACCGGCCGCCCTCCGTGTCCTCGGTGCACTCGGAGGGGGACTGCAACCGCCGCACACCGCTCGCCAACCGCGTGTGGGAGGACCGGCCCTCATCCGCAGGTGGGCAGGGGCGGGGCCCACCGTGTGCGGGGCCCACAGGCGCTGTCTGGCCTGGCCAGCAGGGTACTGACTCAGGACGGTGTGGACGCCTTGCCGTGCGCGGGCCAGGTGACAGGTTCCCACTGTCCCCAGACCGCAGGGACGGGGCAGAGATAGTGCGGAGCCTACGGCTGCAGCCTAGACGAGAGGCAGTGGGGCCTTGCACTGCCGGGGAGAGGCGGATTTCAGAAATTCCCGAGACGTAGAAGGGGCCGGTTGGCGGCAGGGCAGGAAGGCCGAGGCCCCAGTTCCCGGGGTGGGGAGCTGGGGTGGGGGGTGCGCCACTCACGGAGGCCCCCGCCCCTCCCGTCTCACCCGCAGGTTCCACGCCGTTCCCCTACAACCCCCTGATCATGCGGCTCCAGGCGGGCGTCATGGCCTCCCCGCCCCCGCCGGGCCTCGCAGCAGGCAGCGGCCCCCTGGCCGGCCCCCACCACGCCTGGGACGAGGAGCCCAAGCCACTGCTCTGCTCACAGTACGAGACGCTGTCCGACAGCGAGTGACTCAGAACGGGCTGGGGTGGCGCCAGGCGCCGGCGAGTGGCAGGAGCAGCCCGGGGAGGAGTGGGGCGGCCGCCAACTCCAGGAAGGAGCCCCCCAGGAAGGAGCCCCCAAGTCCGCCCGCGCGTCTGCCCGCCCGCCCGTCCGTCCGTCCAGAGCCGGCATCCTTGCCTGTTTAAAGCCTTAACTAAGACTCCCGCCCCGGCTGGCCCTGTGCAGTGACCTTACTCAGGGGATGTTTACCTGGTGCTGGGGGGGGGCGGGATGGGGCGCGTGGCAGCCACACGCAGGTGGCCGGGGCGCCAGGGACCCGGAGCAGGACGACGCGCGCCTCCACGCCACCGCCTCCCCATAATGCATCTGGAACCAAAGTCTGAACTGAGCTCGCAGCCCCCGCACCCCCCCCGCCTCCCGTCCCGCTTAGCGCTCTGGACAGACGGACGCGGGCGAGCTTGCTCCGGCCTCCGAGAACGCCGGGGCCGCGTCGGGCCAGCCGGGTGGACCGCGGGGCCGGCGCGGCCTGGGGCGAGCGGTGCCTGGAGGAACCGGACTGGTTTGGGGCGGCGGCGGGAAGGCAGGCGGTGTACATGATGTATTGGTTTACAGGGTATATTTTTGATACCTTCGATGAATTAGCTCAGAGGTTTTACGCGAGGAAGGACTGGACCCAGTGTCGCTGCTGCTGTGTCTGGCTCGGCCCGCCGCCGCGAGGCGTGCGCGGGCAGTGGGCGACCCCGGTGTTTGCAGGACCAAGGGGTGGGGGCCCCTCCGCGCCCTCCTCCCTCCCTCCCTCCCTCGGGCAGAGTGGACTCGACGCATTTTCTGTGGCCGCCGTCCGTGCGGGGCTGTGGTGTTCTGTCATTTACACACGTCGTTCTGATTAAAGCGAATTGTACTCGAGCCACAAAGGTTTCTTCTCTCCCTAAGGCGGGCGGGCGGCGGGGGTGCGGGCAGTGGGGGTACAGGGGTGTGGCCTGTGGGGCCAGGCCGGGTCCCCCACCCCGCCAGGGGCTGTCAGCGAATGCTTGCACCGGGCAAGGCTGTCACCAGGAGGGCGAAAAGAGTCGCACCTGTAGTGGGCGTGTCGGGTGTTCACACCTGTGGTGAGCGTGCCGGGTGTTCGCGCCTGTGTTCACACCCGTGGTGGCCGTGGTTGGCGTGGCAGATGTTGGCGCCTGTGTTCACACCCGTGGTGGGCGTGCCGGGTGTTGGCACCTGTGTTCACACCCGTGGTGGGCGTGCCGGGTGTTGGCACCTGTGTTCACACCCGTGGTGGGCGTGCGCCGGTGTTGGACCGTTGTGCCCACCCGTGGTGGGCGTGCCGGGTGTGGCGTCCTGCGTGTTACACGTGGGCCGTGCCGGTGTTCCTGCCGTGTTCACACCCACCGGTGGCGGCCGGTGTGCCGCCTGTGTTCACACCCGGCGTGGACCGTTGCCGGGTGTTGCCGCCCTGTGGTTCACACCGTGGTGCGACCGGCGTGTTGCGCTTGTTCACTACAGTGGGTGGGCGTGGCAGGTGTTGGCGCCTGTGTTCACACCCGTGGTGGGCGTGCCGGGTGTTGGCGCCTGTGTTCACACCGTGGTGGGCGTGCCGGGTGTTCGCGCCTGTGTTCACACCGTGGTGGGCGTGGCAGGCGTTGGCGCCTGTGTTCACACCCCGTGGTGGGCACAGGACTCGCACCCCTGCTGTCCAAGAGGCCCCGGGCCCAGCTGCGAGCTGTTCCCCGTCACCCTGCCTGCTGGGATCTCGTAAGGAGCTTGAGGATTCTGACGGGAGATTTGGACGGAGGCGGGAAAGCCACCCGCCTTGGCGGTCTTGGGGTGCGTGTCTCAGAAAAGAGGTGCTGTCAGGCCTGCTGTGTCCCTGCTGGGCAGAGCGGGGTCTCGGAAAGGGCACGGTTTTTCCCGGGGACCGGCGCCCGCCCTGGGCGCGGAGGTGAGGCGGACGGTCTGCGCGGTGTCCGTGCTCTTCTCCCCGGGGCTGTCTCAGCGTCGTGGGGAGCCTGGGCACCCCGGTTCTGGTGCCGGCCCCCCGGCCCACCCGAAACGGCACCGGCACTCCCGAGGGCTGGGAGCGGGGCCACCGCGGCTGGCCGGGCGACCAGGCTCCCGGGCTTTGGGGGGACGGCCGTGGCAGGGGTCCTGCCCTGGTGCAGGCGTCCGACTTCGGCCTCTCCTTCCGTGCTGGGGGGCGGCGGAGGCGACTGCGTCCTCCGGCCTCGCCGGCACCCTGGGGGTCGCAGGTGGCTGGGCTCCCATGTGGCCGCCCGGCGGACGCGTGGCAGGGCGGCCGGGCGCCCGCTGTAGTTCCGAGGCCGGCGGGCAGGTGGCAGTGTGGGGACGGCCCGGGCTGGTCGTGGGCGGGGCCTCCTCCCGCCAAGGCACAGCCCTGCCCCCACGCGGAGTGCAGCGAGCACAGGTAGGGTCAGGTGTGGCCCTGCAGGTGGCCCACTCTCTCAGCTTTGGCCAGGCTGGGCTTGTGGGGGGAGGACACGGGTCTCACCCTCAAGTCGTCTCCGCCAGCCCCGTCTCTGCATCAGAGCCCGCACTCTCGGTGCCTCTGCGTGTTCCTGCCGCGGCCAGCGGCCCAGACCGGACGCGGGAGCGACTGTAGGGTACGGGGAGAGCCCCGGCCTCCTGCTGCCCTCAGAGGGCCCCCTCTGTCTCCCAGTCGGTCCTCAACCCCCAGAGAGGTCATCCCACTCCCGTCTTACCTGTCTTTCTCGCTGTTCTGTGTTTAAAGTGGAGGCCAGTGCTGTTCCCTGGTCCCCCGTCTCCCTGGAAAACTCCTACGCACACTTCAAAACCCTGCTGGGGCATTACTTCCTCTAAAAACTCACTGTCTTATGCCACCTCCTCTCTCTGGGGAGCTGTCAGCACAGCGTGAGCTACGCTCGTCTCCAGCCGACGGGACCCCCTGGGGTCTGAGCTCTCCTTCCCCTGCCGACCTGCTCTTGGCGCCCAGCCTCCCTGGCAACTGTGCTGAGCTCGACTAGGAACTGCTTTGTGCAGGACGGCTGTTGGCAAGTGTCACTGTGTCTTAGGACGTTGTGGGGTTGGTTAAAATGCGGATTCCTGGGTCCACCTGGAGGATCTGATTCCCGAGGTCCAGGCCGAGAGTCTGTGCCAGACGCTCGGCCAGGTGTGCCTGATGCGGGGCGGGGCAGTGCCCGCGGCTGCAGCTGGAGCCTGGCGCCACCTTGCGTCTGCCCAGGTCTCCACAAGGCTCGGGCTCTGGAGGAGAGGCCTGGCGCCCCAGCTGGAAGAGCTGCCAGCCACGTGGCGGGCACAGACTTGTCCCCGGGACAGCAGGGTGGCTCAGGACAAGCAGTGCTGGGATGACACAGACAACATGGAGCAGTCAGGGTGGCTTCCTGGAGGTGGCAGGTCTTGCGTGGGGCCAGGCTGGGAGGTGACGCCCAGCCAGGGATGCTCTGGGCCCGCGGGGGCTGGGCTGAGTCTGGGGGGCCTGGGGAGGGGGCCGAGAGGTTCCCGAGAGGGCGAGCAGTTGCCCAGTCAGGTAATCCGCTGGCTTTCTGGAATTGGGGCGCTGTGGGCCTGCCAGGTGCCGACGGGCTTGTGAGGGAGAGGTGGGCCGGGAGCCCAGCGGGGGGCAGGATGTGGGGGTGGGGGACCTACGGGGTGAGGGGGCTGTGGGCGCTGGGCGTCGGCCCCCCGCGAGGGCAGCGTGTGGCGAGTGAGAGGGCAGAGCGTGGAGCTGGCTGCTGGGCCCGGCTAAGCCATGTGACCCTGTGGGCCTCAGTTTCCCGTCTGGAATGGGGTGATGACACTGCCGTGAGGTGTGACTGACACTAGACGCCGTTTACTTCTCTCACGCAGCCACTGGGAACTCACCTGTGCAGAGGTGGGTTTTACGGTGGGGGGAGGGGAGCCGCAGGTGGTCCGGCCACGGTGACGATCATTGCGCATTTGGGGTGTGTCATCGTCAGCTGGCACCTGGTGGCAGGCTGCCCTGAGGGGCTGGGGGGCCGTCAGAGCAAACTGGGTCGCCGTTTACGGGCGCGGCAGGAAGCCAGGGCTCAGTCGTGGGGACGCGGGCTGGAGCCGGGCCGTCCGCCGGCGTCCTCGGTAGGCGAGGCCAGTCCAGTGCCCTCGGCGTGGCCGGGCAGAGGGGCGCCGCGTGCGTTGGCACCAGGGCGGTGGCTCCTGTTCCTTCCACTTCGGGGAGGAAGACTGGCGCCGACGCGAGCGCGGCAGACGGGTGGTGGGGGCGCTCACTGTTTGCGGGGAGGGGGCGCCGTGGCGCGGCTCTGAGGCGGGACGCGGGGACCTGAGCCCAAGGGTGCAGATGCTGCCAGAGGTGAGGCGGCACCTCCCGCGTCAGCCTCAAAAAATAAAAAAAAAAACCCCAGGGGAGCAGCAACCCCTCGGGCGCTGCCCCGAGGCCTTTGCCTTGGCAGAACTCAAAAAAAAAAAAGGCCACCACGGGGTGGAAACCGGACGTTAGCCGAGAAAACGGCCCGAGGCCGCGCGGGTGACCCGACCCCCGTAGCGAGAGCGCCCCCGAGGGCCGCGCGGGTGGACCGGACCGAGCGAGAGCGCGCCCGAGGGGGCCGGGGTGGACGGACCGTTAGCGAGAGCGCCCCGAGGCCGCGCGGGGTGGACGGACCGTTAGCGAGAGCGCCCCGAGGCCGGGCGGGGTGGACGGACCGTTAGCGAGAGCGCCCCGAGGCCGGGCCGCCGGGCTCACGTGTCCAGTCCCTGGGGGTGGAGTCCCAACGCTGGGTCAGGGCCGCAGGAAACGGGCGCGTCTCTCTGCCGACTTGGGTCCCCGTGGGACAGGGTCAGGCAAACCAGGTGCACTGGGGCCTTCCAGGCCGGTCCCCAGCCCCTCGTCCACTGTCCCCCCGTCCCTGGCGGGCCCGGCGTCCCGGGAAAGGTGGACGCCGTCTGCGCGGCACAGCCCCTTGGGGACGCTCGCTCGCCTGATGCCAGACTGCAGGCGGGGTCAGAGGTTGGGGGTCCCGCCTGCACATGCCGAGGGGAGGGGCGAGGGACGGCACCGCTGGTGGCCTCAGCCCGGGCTTGGGAGCCGGGGCCCTCCATGCCCGCGGGGGTCGTGGGAGCTGTCGTCACTCGTGTCGGGAAGCCTGTGCTCGGAAGCGGAGAGACCAAGGCAGCGGCTGAGGATGGAGCGACTGAGTGGAGCCGGCGCGCACGGAGGACTGGGTGAACGCTGCCAGCGTGGCCTCTGCCCGGCCCCGTCGCCCCCGAAGTCCTGTCACCGACCCGCGCGACCATGGCACCGCAGCGGCCTCCAGGCCTGTCCTTCCGGGAAGGTAAGCCTGTGCGTGGCTCTGCCGCCTACTAGCTGTGTGACTTGGGGCAAGTTACTCAACCTCTCTGTGCCTTACGTTCTCCTCTGTAGCAGACTCAGCGGGCAGGGATGGCCTGAGCGAAACCACACGGTCCCTGGCAGCCAGCGGGTGCCCTGGGTCAGCTAGCAGGGCCCCGTCACTGGCGCGAGTAACCCGGCCGCCCTGGGGTCTGGGCCTCACCAGGCCGCCCTCCCCTCCCCTCGGATGATCTGTCCCCTCGGACAGTCAGGCTTTGGAGCCCGAGCCACCCCCCTGGGGAGGGGGGAGATGGAGGGAAACCAACCCTGAGGTGCGCAGGTCGCCTGCGCTGCTGTGGCCGCGGGGCTGCTCCAGGGACCCGTGGGGGCTGGGCCGCGGAGCTCAAGGCGTGTGCACGCTCAAACATGCAGACGGCGGGGCCCACCCGAGGAGCCACCCCAGACCCAATTCCCTGGCTGGGGCCGGACCCCTGCATTTATCAACCCCCACCCAGCAGCTGGGGCCAAGTCCCTCCCTGTCCCCTGTGGGCAGGACAGCAGGTGCCCATAGTGAGAGGCGCCTGGAAACACGCCCCCTCACCCCCGTGGGATTGGGGTGTCAGAAACCATGGAGCAGCCCTTCGGTTTGCACGTTTTATTAAGATGAGTTCTTAAGTTATCTGTTCATCAGACAGCGTCCCTGGAGAGGGCACACCACCTGCGTGGGCACGTAAAAACGCATCAGGCGTTTTGCCCCTTGGGACAAGAGCTGAGCCCCAGGGCCTTCCGGCCCCGGGGGTGGCGGGAGTCGCCGCCCACTGCTGGGGCCGGGGGGGCTCCGGCATCGCCATGGTCCCAGCCCCTTCCAGGGTGTGGTGTGGGCGCCGTGCACGTCGCGGCTGGTCGTCCCCCCGTGTGTCAGGCAGGCACGGGCGAGCCCGCGGTGCTGGGGCGTGACGCGCTGGCACACACTTGATCTCGCACAGGGGCCCTGAGTGCGGCAGGCGGCCCCCCGGCGTCTCTCTGAGCCGGCGGCTGGACCGGACCCCCGCGTCCTCATCGGTCCCACACAGACGGCAGCGACAGGTCTGGGAGCTCCTCGGCCACCCCGGGGTTGGCCCCGACGTCCTGACAGCCGTGTGTGGACAGCGTCAGCCGGGCCACCTGCAGTGAGGCTCTGGCCGCCAAGGACACTGGCACAGCTCCAGCTCCGGCACTTTCCAGGCCGTTCCTCTGCCCCCAACACGAGCACCGCCGCTCGGCGTCCGCTGGGGCACCCGCTGTGCATGCTCGCGAGGCCCGTTCTGGACACAGTGTCCGAGGGCCCAGGGCGCCCAAATGGCGCCGTCTCCTGTCCCCACAGCCGTGGCCCCGAGGGGCTGCAGCGGGCACCTGCTGGGCCAGGCGGGGCTGTTCTCTGCGCCCAGGGCCACCACGGACTCGCCCGCTCCTCTCTCCGTGCCTAGAGGTGTCGGTGCTGCTACAACAGCCGAGTGGGTCCTGCCGCTGGGTCCTCCGCGGGGACAAGGCCGCGCAGGGCCGGGGGACGGCCTCCCCAGGCCAAGCCGTCATGTCCACGCCCGACGGCTAGGGCGCGGGGGCCCCGCACGGCCGCAGCTGCACGCTGGCGCTGAACCAGCGGCGCGGCGGGCCCAGGCTGCAGTGCAGCGTGGTCCGGAAGCTGCTGCGCGCCTGCTTGGGGAAGATGATGGTAGTGCTGCGGAAGAGCAGGGCGCGCGGCCGCGGCTCCAGGGTCAGCTGGCTGCGGTAGCTGCGCCAGGTGCAGTTGGGCGCCGCCACCACCGTCTCGCTGTAGGCCGTGACCGTGGGCACCGGCGCGTAGAACACCTTGTCCCGGAAGTGCCTCTGCGAGGCGTACTTGACCTCGGAGTTGCAGCTGGGGAGAGAAGGCGCGGTGAGCGCGGCCGGCGCACTGCTCAGCCCTGGGACCCGAGAGACAGCTCCGCGCAACGCGTGGCCCCGGCGGGTCTGAACCAGAGCCACGCGCCGTGAAAGGACATCATGGGGACCACGCGTGCTCACGAGACGGTGCCATCGCTGGATTTCCGGACTGTGGACAGCTGTGCTGCCTCGTGCAAGAGGCCGTCCCTGTTCTTGGGGAACCCACTGAAACATCTGGGGCTCGGCTGGATGGCGCCAGCCTCCCGGCCGGCCGGGCGGATTGTGAACAGCTGCCGCCCGTCTGCGAGGCGCCCGGGGACTGCTTGTACTCTTCGTGCAACTGCTCGGTGAGTTTGAGATTAAATCAAAATGAGTTTTCCAAAACGTGCCCTTTGCTCCCCTAGACGAGCAACCGACGGGCATCGCCCCGTTCCCCCTGCAGGGCTCCGGGACCCCAACCTGGAAGGGCCAGGAGGGGAGACGCACCCGCCTCGGTCCCCACAGACGACCAGCAGCCCAGGCCCCCTCGTCTCCCACTGCTGGGCTCCCGAGGGCTGTTTGGGGGGAAAATAAACCTGGGGCCACGTGCCCCACTCGACACCAGGTCATCCAGAAAGCCCCAGGGATGGGGGGCTAGACCCCCCACGCTTAGCCTGCACCCACCTGTGGGGTCACAAAAGTCCTGAGGTCACCTGAGCTGCCCTACGCACGGGACTTACAGCATCTTATCGGTGGCACACGGGGCCTAGGTCACGGTCACAAAGGACACGGCAACACGTGGGAAAGGCCCGGGCTTCCTGGGCTGGTCACGGACACCCGCCCACCTGCCGGGGAAGGGGCGGTTCTGTTTGTCACTTTCTAAACCTCTGGGAAAGACGACTTAAAATACCAGCCAGGCTGTTGGGGGAGAAGGGACATGGGCGGGTTTCAGGGTGGGTCTGCGTCTCTTCCATAAGATCGGTCTCATCTCTGGCCAAGACGCGGCCGAGCCCACTCACCGGATTTCGTGCGAGGGTTCGGGGTCCACCTTGATGCTCTCCCCGAAGAACACTGGCAGCAGCCGAGCTCGCATCTCGGGCGCCGGGAGCAGGGGCGGAGGCTGCGGAGAGTACAGACGCGACGCGGGTTAGCAGCCCTGCGACTCCACTACACCGCCACGTGTCCCCCTGTCCCACGTCCCAGCAAGGGGACGCCCGTCATGGCAGTGGCTTCCCAGACACGCCCAGGCCCGGAGCCAGCCTCAGGGCCCCGGGCTCCTCTCGGGAGACCCCGGGGCAGTGCTGCGTGCGGGCTGAAATCCCCCCTTCACGCCGCCCAGGGCTGGGGCAGCCTGCGGGGGGAGAGCCTGGGCCGCTGGTGCCTGCCAGGACGGGGACACAGCAGGGAGCCGGCCGGCCTGCAGAGGTGCAGGGAGCTGGTCCAGACGGCGCACGTGCTCAGGTGGGCGTGGGCCCCACGTTTTACCTGCCTGCCGTCTCCCCTCTGGGAACAGCACCGCACCTTCCCCAGGACCGGACTGGGTGAGACACAGGCGCGTGACTCACGCTGGGCCAGGGAGAGCCCCGGGCCCGGGTTTTCTGCCAGAGCTCAGGGAGAGCCCCCCGCCCACCAGTGGCAGAGACTCGGCGGGGTGGAAACCCCTTCTGGAAGTGAAGCAACGCCGAGGGGATTAGGGATCAAAGCCGGTGAAAGCTCAAGCCGTGCCTGCATCAAGCCCTGCCTGAAGCTGTTGCTCCTCAGTTGTGAGCACCAGCAAATCCGGTTTGCGGCTTAAGCCATGTGAGCTGCTCTCCTGTCACTTGTCACCACAAGATTCCTGGCAAGGCAGGAAAGGAGAACACCACGCGGGGGAGAGATGCCAGCCACAGCCCCTCAGAGAAAGCACCTTCCCAGATCCACCCCCAGCTCCACGCTGGGAAGTTCTTTCTCTGGTCTGAAGGTCTGTCCCCAAATTTCTATTCCCTATGGAAACAAAGACCACCAGGCCCCTCCCCAGGTCCACGCAGGGAGCGGTCCAAGGACGCCACCTCCGCCATTTCCACCCCAAACTGACTCTGAAAATGCAGACCCAGGCCCCTCCCGCCCGCCCCCACACCCCAGGACAGCCCTGTCCCTGGACAGCCCTTCAGCAACACTGAGCCAGGGACACCCCGCAGAGGCCCCCAGGACAGGCCGGGAGGCTCTTCCGCCTAAGCCTTTTAAGGTGGCTCTCGGTGTCCTTCACTCCCCACCCCCGAGCCACCCCCTTCCCCGTCAGCCTGACCCTGCTGCGAGCCAGGACTCCAGCTGGGTGTCCTCACGCCGACCCGCCGTCTGCGGGCCCAGCCCTGCCTGCCACGCGCATGGGGCACCCCACTGCCCGGCCTGCGAGCAGGGGACACGGGGGACGTGGCTGCTCCACCGGCCTCAGACCCTGGGCGGCTCCAAAGGGCAGAACGCGGGACGCCACGGCGGACCAGACGGAAAGGCGCACCGGGGCCAGAGGCAGCCCCGCGGTGTGGGGCCTTCGCGACAGGGCGTTTGTCCCGAGGCGGCACCTGGGGTCTGGCGAGCGCGTGCTGGGAGAGCAGGCGTCCCGGCCGCTGCCCGTGGGCTCGGGGACCCGCGGAGAGCCCTTCCCGCAGCTCACAGACCGGCCACCACCTGTGTGCCGGGCCGGACTCAGTGCTGTGATTGCGGAGTGCCCCGAGCTCGCTGCCGGGACCCCTCTCTCTGGTGTCCCCGGCCGCCGTGGGGCTGTGCCCGTCGGGGCAGTGAGCGCTGGGCAGGAGCCCAGCCACCAGCGATGGAGGAGCTTCCGGAGACGGGAGCGGAAGGGCGCAGGGGCTGACCGCGGCCACGCAGGTCCCAGGGGCTGCACACTGATGGTCCGGGGACCTGCCCCGCAGGACACGCAGCCCCGGATCCCCTACACCCTCGGCGCCGGCACCACGCCCGGACCCGGTGCTGAGGCCAAGCCAGGAGCCACTGGCTGCGTGGGCTCTTGCGTGCACAGTGACGACACAGAGGCACGGTGGGCGCCCATCCCCCACTCACCCGCCACGGCAGGTCTGGACACACCCAGCGTAGCAGGAAGCGCCGCCGCGTGCACAGGCGTGCGCGGACGCGTCCTGCTTCTCCACAGGCAGGATGGGGCTGCGCCCGGCACGCGGCGGGGAGCAGCCCCGGCCCCTGATCGGCGACAGAATCGGTTTCCGTTTCTGTTGTGAACCCCGGCTGTGGCGGCGTTGCCGCAGCCCCAGGAAGGCAGCACAAAACGCCACACTGCCCGGCACATCCAGACGGCACCGCACCCCTCACTGAGGCCAGCCTCCCCGCCGCCTGGGCGGGGGCAGCGCCGCAGTGCCACAGATGCCGGCGCTGGCCCGGGTGGCCGAGGGAGGGACTTGCCCGCAGCGGGAACTGCCGGAGGAGGCAGCCGGGCTCCCGCGCCCTCACCCACGCTCCCGTCCCCGCCCTGCGCCGCCCACGGCCCGGGGCACTTCCTGCCCCTCTCCTGCACCCCTGCACGCAGCCCACGCCGCCTCTGTGCCGCGGCTCCCGCTGTTGCCCTTCCCGCCCTTCCAGGACATCCTCCGGCCCCTCCCCCAAGGCCCGGTGAGACCTGCGCGGGCACCAGCTCCCGTCTCCTTGGCACCTCCACAGGGACGCCGGCCCCCCACTGCTGTGACCCTTTGTGTGTCCGTCACCCCAGACCCGAAGCTCCTAGGCTGGACACACGGTCACCTCTCTACCGCAGACCCCACACCTGCACGGCGGTCCTCAACCCAGGACCCCGAGCCGGGCCCACACCTGTCTCCACGTCTGGCAACAGCCTGTGGACGAGGTCACGGCAGCCCCGTCCCCCCAGCCGCAGTGTACCCGGAACAAGGGCCGAGGACCAGGGAGAAAGGATGCGAGGCTTGGGGGAGGTTCCCCAAAGCCCCCGCTGTCCCCAAGGTGTCCCCGTGTCCCCTGGCACTCACACAGAGAAGTGGCCCAAGAAAGCAGCAGCTGCTCCCCCTCCCCGGGTGTGGCCGGCTGCGTGGTGACCCCAAACACGTCCACGCTCTGATCCCCGGGACCGTCCGTGGCGAAGGGGGCCCTGCAGACGTGACTAGGGCCTCTGTGCTGGGAGATGACCCCGGAGCCTCCAGGTGGCCCCGCGTGTGCACGGGTCCTTTCGGGAGGGAGGAGCTCGGGAGAGACGGCGGCCTTGGAGAGCAGGGAGGGCCGCGGGCCAAGGCAGGCGTGGAATAGACTCTGGGCTCCCAGAAGGAACCGGCCCTGCCAACACCGCGCTTTCAGGCCTTCTGCCCTCCGGCTGTACGACAATAAACCACGCTGTTCTGAGCCGCGCTGTTTGGAGACATGTCCCAGCCGCCGCAAGGGGCAGAAACCGTGGGGCCTGGGATAAAGGACCTCGGCCTCCCGTTTCTCGGGGCGACAGGCACCCACCACACGGCCTTCCTCGAGGCCAAGGCGGGAGGCGCCGGCACGCAGAGGGGGGTCCCGGGGTAGGGTCCGCCCTGGACAGGAGCCAGTCCCGCCCTCAGAGCCTTAGGCCACACCCTCCTCCCTTCCTGAGGCAGCAGGCCAATTTCGGGACACGGCCCACAGCTAAGCCACCACCGAGCCGCAGCCGAGGCCTGAGGACGCTTGGGGGCTCCAGGGACAGACACGCCAGGGCAGCCCCGGCCACGCGGAAGCTGAGCCCTCCTGGCTAGGGTCGGGTCACTCTGACACCAATGGCGGCTGGGCCCAGGGCCTCCGGCCAGCGAGACAGCGGGCAGGGGAAGCGCCTCGCGGCCAAGGTGGCTGCGGCCCTGGAGGGATGTCCCAGCCACGTGGGAACGTGACACTCCTTAAAGATGGGGTCACAGTCCCTGGGGTGACTAGGGCTGGGGAGGGGGCTTGGGCACACTGGGGGCCTGCCACCGTCACCCACTCTGGTCATTTGGCCACCTCGGCCCAGGAAGCCCAGAAGGCCCGCAGCCCTGCCCCAACCCAGTGGCCGCCAAGCTCTCCCCAAGCCCCGGGTTCCTGCGCCGAGACCGCGCTGCCAGCCCCCCCGGCGCCACCGCAAGGCCCACACAGGGGCTGCGGCTGGCGTGTTGCCTGGGGCTCCTGGAGGCTGGGGTGCAGGGACAGGAGTGAGTGAGCCCCGGGTGCAGCAGCTGAGCACCGAAGGCTGCCCGTCCCTGGAGCCGCCCTTCCCTGCCCCCTGGGAGGGACGAGGCCGTCAGTCGAGACCCCAGGTCCCCAGCTCCTTCCAGGGCCCGTGTGAGCCCGTGGGGGCCAGGGCCAGGCCTCGGAGGGCGCTGGGTGCAAAGGTCAGCCGGGCCCCCACCGTCCTGCCTTCCTCCGTGACTCGTGGGCCTTCCCCAGGTGCCGCCAGGCAGAGGGCGAACACGCGGCGGCTCGCGGCAAAGCCCGCGTGGGCGCTCTGGGGGCCGTCCCGCCTCCCGGCCCTGGGTGGGCGAAGAAAGATGCCCGCTGTGCTGCAGGGAGCCCGGTGTCGCCAGTGACGCCCGCCAGCCTGGGCAGGGACACACGGCAGCACCTGTGCACAGGCTGGGGACACGGGGCCCCACAGCGACGAGGCCACGCCCCGGCCCACGGCACCACGCACTTTCAGCCGGGGACCAACACGCTCCCACCGCTGGGGACATGGGTGACAGGGGAGGGTCCAGCCCTGCTGCTGCCCCGGGGGGAGGGGGACAGCCAGGGAGACCCCACGCCGGCAGGGGCAGGTGTCCTCACCAGGGCCATGGGCAGCCTTCGCAGTGACCACAGGGGCCCTTCTCGGGGCACGAGCCCATGCCCAGGGAGCTTCCCCCCGCCTCTGTCACCCTGGGAACCCAACTGTGTCCGGCGCACGTGGAACTCGAGGCCACGGACCCAAGTGCTGGGCTCAGGCTGAGCCGGACTGTGCCCCGTGAGGAGACTGGACCAAGGAGGGGACATTTAAACACCGGGAAGTCCTGCCCTTCCTATCAAAGGCCACGGCTGCTGGCTGCAAAGCCCGGGGCAGGTGCGAGGGGTCTCACTAGCTGCTGTCCCACAACTCGGCCTGTGCGGGGGGACCCAGGGGACCCCACACGGACCGGACCACTCCCC